CTACACATAGTAAGAGAGACAGAAAGATCTACCATCTGCTGGTTCACTTCCCAAGTGACCACAACAGCTGGAGCTGAGCCCATCCCAAGCCAGGAGCTGGGAGCTTCTTCCAGCTCTCCCACATGGGTGCAGGGTCCCAAGGCTTTGGGTCATCCTCCACTGCTTTCCTGGGCCACAAGCAAGGACAGTGAACTAGCAGGTGGTAGATTTTTCTCAATATTTCCTTCTCTCTGTAAATTTGCCTTTCTAATAAATAAATTAATTAATTTTTAAAAATCATACTAAAAACCAGAATGAGAAAAGACAGCCAACAAGCACCAAACAGAAATCACACAGAAGTTGGAATTACCTGAGAATTGCTAAATATTTCCCCAAATTTAGCCAACGACATAAAGGAGCTTAGTGAATTCCAAGGAAGACAAACCTTAAGTTATTTCTTGTATTTTCCAGTTTACTAATACTTCATCTTCTTTTTACCTTTAATTATTCTACATTTAGTTCAAATTTTTACATTTTCTATTTCCTTACTAAAACTTCTTTTTTCTTTTGTTTCAAGCATGTTCACAGTTGTTTGCTGAAGCATTTTTGCACTTTTCAGACAGCGTTTCACTTGCCTCAAGGGTTTGGAGGCTGAAAGTCCAGATGGCATGATGCAGGTTCTTAGGAAGGCCACACAGTACATGGCCCAGTTTGTGTGGGAAGGTCATACGGCAAGCCAAGGAGCTGAAGGAGTGGGCTGGCCCAAGTGCAGGCTTTTGTAACAACTTGCTTCTGAGAACCGCATTCCAAGACCTAGGGAGATCCCACTAGGCCACACTTGCCAAGGCTTCTGTCACCTCTCCACAAAAGAACTGAAAAATGCTAGACTTCTTCAAAACAGAAGTTCTTTGAAAAAAAGCTCAATAGAACTGCTAAGGTGAAGCTAAAGAACTATGACAAGACTAAGAACAAAGAAATAAACCACAGAAGGTATAGTAACCTTAAAAATTGAGAATAGAATATACAGCTTTATGTTTAAAGGCTTAAAAACATGAATGCCTTTATAGAGGTAAATCAATTATATATTTTGCAGGCCAAAACCACATAGGAAATTGAAAAATTATAATCAAACTGGTAGGCAGCTTCTAAAGCTACTCCCTCCCAGATTCCCTCTCATGAAGGTGTCTTCATCCAGTGATTTGATTCTTCTTCCTTTTTTTTTTTTCTTTTTTTTAAGATTTATTTTTACTGGAAAGGCAGATAGAGTGAAGGAGACACAGACAGAAAGATCTTCCATCCACTGGTTTACTCCCAAAATGGCTGCAACAGCCAGAGCTGAGCCAATCTGAACCCAAGTGCCAGGAGCTTCCTCTGGGTCTCCCACGCAGGTGCAGGGTCCCAAGACTTTGGGTCATCCTCTATTGTCCAGCTATCCTGGGACGGTACATGCTGTCATTTTAGAACACCAAGTTTGAGTATAATCTGTTACCCAATCATAGTTATCTAACACACAAGGACTAGGCCTATATTGTTTGGAGGGGCAGAGGGCAGAACGTAAAGTCATCAAGAAATAAATAAATTCTATCAAATCTAAACTTTTCTGGAGCTTACAAACAAGCTAGCATCAGTATTTATGAATAATATAATCTAAAATGATTTTCCTTTGGCAAGTTTTGTTAACTTTTGTATTGATTATGAAATTCAGAGTTGGCCATAGAAAAACAGAAACAATTCTTTTGTATTAAAAAAAACACACACACAAATATCTATTCAAATGAATAGTTACCATTCTATTTATCAATGAAATACTAAAGCATTCTCATTAAAGTGAGGAGTTCTTGCTATCTCTGTTACTTATATTACTCTAGGAGAACAAAAATAACAAAGTGCAGTCAAAACATTAGAAAGGTAGAGACTTTATTATCCTTGTTTAAAATTTATTTCTCTGAAAACCAAAAAGAACCACCTGAACAACTACTAGAACGAATGATTTAGTCAGTAATGTGACGAGTGTAAAAGCACTGATGGGAATACAGTCAATATAGGAGTGTATCTGGCAATCACGTAACAACAGACAGATGGTTGGAGACATGAGGATATCATAGTCCTCCAAGGAGGGGGGATGGGTAAGGCGGGCAGTGGGAGAGCATCATGAGCCTCAAACACACTCCCCGCAAGGGCAAAATCACCAGTGATCCTTCCCCTGGCTCCAAGAGTTCTTCTCAACAATGTCCTGACAACCAAGAACACAGCTTTGGTGCACAGGAGGTGCCACCAGGCACTCCGGACACCTCTGACTCACCTTCTGGCAAACAGCTTCAGGACCTGCAGGATCTCTAGGCTTCCGACCGGGCCACCCATATGCCTGGGTCATAAGGCTTCTCAAAGGGATGTGACGCAGAAACTGCTTGTCCACCTTCATCCTCAGTGAGGGGAACTACCACTGGACGTTTTCTCCTTTCCCCTCCCCTCCCCTTACAATGGCCCGTCTCCTATTTGATAAAAGGCATGCTTTGTGCTTGCCTCTCCACAGTCTACAGTCAATTCCCTGGAATGTAGAAACCTCTAATACTAAAAGAAAAAGAACAAATATTGGCTTGCCCAGACACTTGCTTTTAGTGTCTGCTTTGGAATACAAAATCCTTTTGTAAGTCAGATTGTTTTTATATCTTTGTTTTCAACAAAATTGAAGGAGCTATAAACAGTGTCAGGGCATGTCAGTGTCCCCCCTTCCCTCCCAAATGCCTTTTTATAGTAGAAACCTCTTGAATTTCAGAAGGTTTTTGGTTATTTAGCTGAAGACTGCATCTGACAGTAACAAGCTATGGCTATGGAATGAAGTTCTTGACAGTAACATGTGCCAGTTCTGAGACTGTGGCCAGGCTGTCCTCAGGCCTGCGGCTTCAAATATGGACTACAGATAGGCTACAAACTTCTATCTTGGCTGATCCACTGTACTTTTGTTACTATCAGTCACTTTTTCTTTCCATATTAGTTAAAATAATTGAGTTCATTACCAAAAATAATTACAGACATACAACTGGAAAGTTCAAAGACTTGAACAGCTTTTTGCTTTAACAAAGCTATGCAAGATTTAAAAAAAATTTTTTTTAACTTATCTTATTGGAAATACAGATCAGATTTACAGAGAAAAGGAAAGACAGACAGATCTTCCATCTGCTGGTTCACTCCCCAACTGAACACAAAGGCCAGAGCTGAGCTGACTCCAAAGCCAGGAGCTTCTTCTGAGTCTCCCACACCGGTGCAGGGTCCCAAGGTTTTGGGCTGCCCTCCACTGCTTTCCCATGCCACAAGCAGGGAGCTGGATGGGAAGTAGAGCAGTCAGGACATGAACCAACGCCCCTATGGGATGCCAACACTCACAAGGTGAGGACTGTAGCCATTGAGTCATCATGCTGGGCCCAAAATATCTTTCTATCTTTCCACTCTCTGTATATCTGCCTGTCAAATAAAATTAATACATCTTTAAAAAAAAAAAAAGCTGCACATAATGATGACTTCTACGTGCTTCTCTGCTCATACCTAAGTCCTTCTGAAGACAGTAGGAAGGAAGTAGTTACACATGTAGAATTAGGCTCTGAAGAATGAAAGAAGGCAGATGATGCATCTAAATTCCTTGTTAACATGCTGAAAACTGGACCTCCTCGTAAACAGACTAACAATGTTTGCAAACAGAACTTTGATCTACGGGAATGTTCTAAGTAGGATGCAGCTGACTGGGAATAGCTTACAATAAATAAACTAAGAACTTACAGTTTTCTGAGACAAAATTCCTGAGAAAGTGACAAAAAACTGTGACAACCACAGATAGTCAGGAAGCAGCAGAGTGTCACAGACCTCTGTGTGCTTTGCTGCTTCCTCGATCACATGTGATCATCCAATCAGGTTGGTTCAACTTCTATTCCCACCAGGAATTAGAGGGTGACTCTCAGCAGCTTTGTCCACAGTTTTCCCAATCTGAGGGCCAGTGACTCACTGTCATTTAAATTCGCATTTTTGTTTATCAGTATCATTGCCTTTACATGTGTTGGCTCTTTGGATTTGTGTTTATGTGCGTACATTTCCTGTTAATAGTATTTCTCCCCTCTTTTAGGTTAAGTTTTTCCTTTTCTCACTGAGAATTATCACAGCATACTGGAAAAGCCTATGAATTCTGGGACAGAGGATTGGAATTTGAATATTGGTCTGCCACTTGCTAAGTACAGCCTCAGCTTCAAGGTCATGTGAAGTTTCTATGAGATGATGAATAACAGCTGATATACAGCAAATGCTCCAACTATGATATCTAGTCACAGGAAAGTTCTACACATGTATCCTATATTAATTATTTATTAAGTGTGTTGTGAATATTTTCTACTGTGTCACCTGTGGTTTAGTTTAATTTATAGATACTTATCAGACATATTTTAATGTAATCACACCTGTCACTTTTTCCTCAATGAAGATTTTATTGGGATCTGATTTTTAACTATTATAATGAATTGACTACTACAAACGTTATCACCTAGCCTAATGAATGTTGTGGTCTGAATCCTTAGGTCCCTCTTAGGTCTCATCAGACATTACTGCTATTTTTCTTTCACAGAACCCACTCCCTTTTCTCTCTGTCCCTGAAAACAGTGCTCCTTCTATCCCAGCATCTCTTTCCACATCATATTCCCTGGATGATCTGACCAGTCACTAATGGTTTCAATAAACTCCACCTAGGCAAATGACACAGAAATCACCAGACCAGTATTTTCCATTAATAGGGTACCTCTGATTTGATGTTCAACCTTAACCTAAGATATTGCAAAAACTGAATTTCATATACAATATATATAAGTGAAATGGTGGCTTAAGGGATACTGTACCTTTTTCCTTAACTTATGACAAACTGAATGTAAAACTGTGAACCACAGACTGTATTTCTTTGTGATACCACATACAAGCCATCTGTAATATGTACAGTGTTCTGGGACAACACACAAAAACCCCTAAAAGTGATTATGAAAGACTTACTTTTCACGTTAAGTTCTTTGCAGCTCTTAGATTTTGCACCATGATACATAATGCCTATTCAAAAACAAATGCAAGCTTATCAGTACATACAAGAGAACTTTTCATCATCCACTTAGCTTCTGCTAAGCCCCTAGGAATCCACCTCCACCTCACGTACATACCCCATTGCCATATGTTACTGCAATGCCTCAGGAATGGATCCTTCATCCATCTATACATTCAATAGCAGTCCCCAAAATACACGATAAGCCGAGTCCTGGGCCACGGCTCAACAGCTGAACAGAATACCCTCAGTAACAATGCCCTCAAGAAATCCCACCAGGAGGGTACTTGGCCTAGAGGGTCAGACATATGAGAGTACCCAGCTCCAGTTCCCGATTCCAGCCCCTTGGTAACACAAATCCTGAGAGGCAGCAGTGATGGCTCAGGGGCTTGGGTCCCATCACTCATGTGGAAGTCCCAGATTGATTCCTGGCTCCTGACTTCAGCACTGGTCTGTGCACAGCACTCCCCGCCCCCCGCCATTCTGAGGCATTGGTGGAATGAACCTGTACTTTGGAGCTATGTCATCTCTCAAATAACTTACAAAAAAAAAAAAGAAGAAGAAGAGGTAGAAGCCGACAACATAAGGATGACACAGAAGAGCCACACCACGCACCAAAATGATATTCTTGAATAACTGTTTCTTTAAGCCATTTACAAGTATTTATTTGGGTAAGAGGTCATAAAACATATTTTTACAATATATATAAGAAGACACATTTGACAAATACAAAATGATAGGAAGTGAAAGAATTAGTGTTTGTAAATGAAATCACTAATAACAACATTGACAATTCAGAGAAGAAATTCAAAGTGTGTTTAAAAGTAGAGACCATGCTTTATAATATTTTATAATAAAAAAGGTATTAAGCTTTCAAAGATAACATGTCTTAATGCTTTTTTTTTTTCTGAATGATTTCAAAGTAGGCTTCTAGACACTGTCATAAATGAACATGAAAAAATGAAGAACTTTGGCAGGCAAAGTATTAGTCCATAGCAGCTTTAAAGATTCTTCAGTTTACATTTGTTCTTGTTACAGAAGCAGGTGAATTCTTATGTTAATATTTGATAATCTGTAAGCTATATGGCCAAAAGTTATTTCAGCAAAGTTTGAATTCTGAGAAAATGTGCACCACACTGCGTATTATCTTAACTGAATAAATGTAAACCATGTAGTCATTAACTTTCCTATATAAAATAATTAATCCCCAAATTTTACACAATGTCCCCTTGTCTACATCTCTTTCTTTTGAAGGCAGCTTTAAGCTTGAACATTTGCTATCAGAAAAAAGTCCTACTCTCTCCTACTTAAAAGTGTTTCTGTAACGTCTCATAGTCCTATAGAAATTCGTTTCAGTACTCTGGTAACAGTTGCATCATAATCAATAAGTGATCCCAAACTTTAAAACAGCTCCTGAGGTCAGAGGAGTGGTCACCAACCTAAGCCTTCCACCTCCAAACTCTGGAAGACCTTGCTATTTCAGACTAAGAGTTCCAAGAAAACAAATCAGAATCTCTTACATCTAAAAAAATTATGTAATTATAGAAAAATGAGACTTTTAAATACTATTTAGCAAAATCAACCAAAAGGAATTGACTCCCACTTAAGGAATGACAGAAAATAAACTAGGTGAAGTTTCATACACAAAGGATATAAATACTGCATATGTAGAGAATATTTGCACAAACCCTTTCATATTTAAAGCATGCAATCAGCAAATCTGATGCTCCTAAGTGTTTTTCCTTAAGATATTTTTATGATATTGCTCCAAAAACCACTATGTGGCATGAAAATATCTCATGGCTTAAGGCTTTCCAATAGGTTTGTAGCATGCATCAGGTTGCCAGAGGCGAATATCAACAAGAACCTGATTGAGTTTTTGCATCCAGAGATCCCGCTCTTCCTTAGTATCTGCAGACAGCCAGTTCCTGAAGGAGCAAGCAAACCAGAGATTAGTATTCTTCCATTGCATTTTGCACTCTCAAGAACTCCTTCTATCAAAGAAGCAAGTGCTTAAAAAGTTCCTCTTTTACTGGGTGCCAACCAAGAGGTGTACAGCCAGGTGCTTTTCCAAGTACAACAGAGTACAATTATTCCTAGTTGAATTAGCTGATCATAACTTGCACTAAATAACATTTGGTAGATGGCAGGTTTCTACCCAAAGAGGACAAACTGTTCTGTGTAGGCATCTAGGCTTGTGATTTGGTGGGGTAAGCATTTAGGAATATCTGGATACTATTCCCAAATAAATACGTTTACCTAATTTCAACTGTTTACAAAGCATATTTTCCCTATCTAAATACTTGTTAAACAAGAGAAAAATGACTCATATTGTCAGCAACTAAAGCAATTAAGATATCACACTTTAAACATCTTAAAAAAAAAAATAAAAGTATTTCTAGCACAAGAAGCTAAGCCAAACTTTAAGATGAAAGACAAGTACTTAGTTTTTATCCAGGAGGACAAATTCCCAAAGAGGATTAGACACAGTCACTTGTGACAGGAGAAGCAGCAGATGTGGCTCTACTTCTTGAGTTCCTACCACCCAACGGAGACCCAGGTTGGCTTCTGGTTTTGGTCTGGACCAGCCTGGTTGCAGGTCATTCATAGAGTGAACCGGAAGATAAAAGATGCCACTCTGTCGGTGTGTGTGTGTATTCCTCTTTGTCACTCTTTCAAAATAAAAACAAGGTCTGGCACAATGACTCAATTGGCTAATTTTCCCCTTGCAAGCGCAAGGATCCAAGCTGCTCCACTTCCCATCCAGCTCCCTTCTTATTGCCTGGGAAAGCAGTAGAGGATGGCCCAATAAATTGGGACCCTACCACATGGGAGACCTAGAGGAAGCTCTTGACTCCTGGCTTCAGAACAGTTCTGCTCCAACTGTTGTAGCCCTTTGGGAAATGAAACAACTGATGCAAGATCTTTCTATCTATTTCTCCTTCTCTCTGAAAATCTTCCTTTCCAATAAAAATAAATTAATCTTTTAAATAAATAAAAATAAAAACAATTCATGAACTTTGCAGACTAGAAGGAGTTTGGTTTTATCAGTCATCTGATTAAATAAAGTAATTTTTGCTGTGGAAACAAAGGGAAGCCTAGACTGTCTGAATAATGCTGGATTTCTGAACTACAACTATACAGAAAGTCTTTAACTCAAATATTATTACTTGTGTTTAAAGCCCACACTGGAAAACACAATTAGCTAAGAGAATGTCACACTTTTCTTAACTCTATGTCTAGTAATTACAGGTCGTCTCTCCCTGTTGTATACATTTCTCCTCTCACCATGGCCATACCCTTCTCAGGGTCAAGGACCATTTCAGATCATTTTCCGGTGGGAGAAGTTTGGAGGGCAGCAGTCACTGGCCATATGAAGTGTTCACAGGCCGATATGTACTTGGTAATGCACAGTGTGTCCCTGCACTGGCTGACCAGAGTCAGTCACTGGCCATATAAAGTGTTCACAGGCCAATACGTACTTGGTGACGCACAGCGTGTCCCTGCACTGGCTGACCAGTGTCTCTCGATCATCTTCTCGCTGTGGTCGGACAGTGATTAATTCAAAAGTGTTGCGTCTTGCACAAAATTCTCTGTTGGCTGGTTCTATCTGACGGCTTGTACAATTGGCCAGATTTATCCTTCCTATGGGATTCTTCAAAACAATTTTAAAACAATTAGTAACCAGTAAACAAGATTAAGTCAGTAAGAATTAAACTGTGTTTAAGCTCATACAAATTAAAATTTAAAAGTCAATGAAAATTAAAATCCAACCAGAAGAAAAACGTCTTATTAAAAATTGACAAAGAATTTAAACATTTTTCAAAAGCAAACCTACGAATGTCCAACATATATGAAAAAAATGCTCAGCATCTCTAGTCATCAGAGGAGTCAAACTGAACCACAGCGAGATATTGGTTCACACCTGTTAGATTAGGTGTTACATAAGAAGGTTGATGAGAACGAAGAGCAAGGACAACTCTTTCCAGTTGTTGGTGAGAAGACAAATGAGTACAGCCATTGGGAACACGGTTCAGAGGGTCTCAAAACACCAAGACCACAACTATCACATGATCCAGCAATCTTTCAGTAGGCACAGAACCAATGGGATTGAAATTAGTATGACAACAAGTACATCTGAACAGCTCTGTTGACATGCAGCATTATTCACAACAATAAAGATAAGGAAACAATCTAAGCATTCCTCAATAAATCAGTGATTTTTAGAAATGTTGTGTATATATACAACCAACAGAAAACAATTCAACTTTAAACAAAATAAAACAGATAATTCTATCATTTGCAACAACATGGATGAACCTAGAGGTCTTTACACTAAGTGAAGTAAGCTGGACACAGAGACACAAATCTACTCTATGATCACACTTACATGTGAAATCTAAAAGAGTTTTCCCCTAAAAGCAGAGCTGAATGAATAAGGGCTGCCAGAGGCTGGGAGAGTGGCAGGGGACAGGGGGCCAGTGACCAGTGAGGGCAGCTATGGTCAGACAGGTGTTCTAATGCATAGCAGCGGTACTACAGACAATTATAATATACTAAGTACTTCCAAATTGCTAGCAAAAAGGATTTTATACGTTACCACCACCAAGAAATAACAAATACTAGGGGATACGTAATGGTGTACCACCAACTGTTACAATCCAACCTACCTTTCGCTTTTCATCATCTGGGTAAGTCCAATAAGATATACAGTTTCCAGAAAGTATACACCATCGCCGGTGCCAGGCTCCAAAACCACTAACATCTTCAAATATGGTCTGGAAAAGTCAATTGAAATGATGGCTTTAAAAACTTTAGAAAAAAATCACAATAAAGTGCTGATTCCAAATTTCAGTATGCTGACATACTCATCTCGAAACTACTTTTTGTTTTTAGTTTTGAAAATTATTGTATGTCAGAAATTTACTTCAACATTATCAACAAGCATTTAGGAATATCTGAATACTATTCCCAAATAAATACGTTTACCTAATTTCAACTGTTTACAAAGCATATTTTCCCTATCTAAATACTTGTTAAACAAGAGAAAAGTGACTCATATTGTTAGCGACTAAAGCAGTTAAGATATCACACCTTAAACATCTTAAAAAAAATAAAAGTATTTCTAGCACAAGAAGCTAAGCCAAACTTTAAGATGAAAGACTAGTACTTAGTTTTTATCCAGGAGGACAAATTCCCAAAGAGGATTAGACACAGTCACTTGTGACAGGAGACCTTGATATAATACCACAGTAACACCACAACTTCAAGTCCCGGCCATCAGAAGCAGCACTCCCTGCAGTCCCATCGGACACTGGAACAGGGCACCAACCCACGGGCTCTTTTTCAAGGACACACTTCTGAAACAATAACTTCAATAGAAACCTGGAGTTTATGCCCTACAATTATACAAAGAACAGAGCCCTCATCTCTAGAAAAGTCCTCACTTTTAATTAAAAGAATAGTTCTTATAGAAACTTTTAAATTAAAAAACAAAGAAAGGGAAAATGTTTGCAATACTTAAGAGATGAGGGGGCAGCCAGCTTTTTCTGTAAAGGGCTGGAGAATAAATGTTTTGTGGCGCCCTCGGCCTTCTGATCCCTGTCACCAACAGCTCCACCATCATAGTACCGAAGCAGCCACAGACACCAACTGAACAGATGAACCTATGTGCCAGTGAGAAGTCAGGGTGGTGGACCCTGCCCGGGACAGCAAGCCAGAGGCAGCTCTGTACTGGATTTCAGAATGTGCCAAAGCTTTCTACCTTCAAATCACAGCTTCACCCTTGCTGGAGATTAATAATAACACACCAAGATTTCGTTTGTGCTGTGAGAGGCACCATTCTAAATACATTTTTAATGTATTTTTAATATTCTATGACAGTAGGACATACACTCTTCTCAATGGATTCATTTAAGTGAACTTTCCAAAAGTGATTTGGTATTGTGAATGGAATCTCTGGGTACATTTTTTGAGAGGAAACGGTACCATAACAGATTAAAACTTCAAATGCATACACTTAATTAGCTCAAATTCATTAGCATTCTCTACAACCCTCCCTCCTATAACAACTTTTTCTTCTATCTCTGCTCTTTCTTTTCTGAAGCATGATTTTTCTGGGCAATTCTGCTGACATCAACAGAAGGAAAAAAGGAATCTTGTTATTTCAATCTTGGGCACAGATAGTACCAATGACTCACCAGCTCCCTCTTGTGTCTACTCCACTTTTTACATCAAAAAGGTAACAACATTTTAAATAACACCAGCTATTACTACAATCAGAGAGGGACAAGAGACAGACAGCACTCTCATTCTTATAGCTGGAAAGACTGAGGGTGAAGGACATTACATGACGACACACAGTCGTGAAGCAGAAGACCCTTCAGCTGCTCAGCACTCCGGAGAGAGCAGGACCAGCAACTATCCAGAACAGCATCCCAGTCTCTCTGATGACAGATGCAGGCTCCCTCCCTCGCAGAGGGCTATAGCACAGCAGGAGAGAAAGTCCAACCCAGCCGCCTTTCCTAGCAAACCTCACTTCCTCTCTACTTTTCAGAGATGGTAGAGAGAACTAAAATGTTTTAGCAGGAGTCAAGAGAGACATCGGGGTCTTGAACTACACTGAGGAGTCAAGGGAGAGCAAACTTAAAGAGACCTAAGTAGATGAAATTCCATTTCCAAGACTAAATTGGTCAGGCATTCGGAGTAAATGCAAATGAAACAGCCAACAGAACAGAGCCTATCAGTTGTAAAAAGAGCCTAACAAAACACGAAAATATTAACATGAAAAGAAAAGGTCAGTAGGTAAACATTGCTTTCAGTTAGAAATTTTTTCAAAAGCTTTTTTCCAAGAATATCTAGTGCCACCTACTGGATTTCAGTATAAAAAAGTTAACAAGGGAGGAAGGAAATGTGTTGAAAGTATCCTTGAGGCTTCCCTTTCAATTTAGCCTCGTGGACAAAACCGCAAATGGATTCGTAGCATCTCGTGGCATTCAGACTGTCACAGAAAAAACCCATTCGCTTTCAGTCCTCACAATGTTCTATGTGTTCCATCACACATCCCCTCCCTTCTGATAATGGAAAAAGGATTATTCTGTTATGACAGTTCTGATCAGTTCCAACTGTGCACGGTGGCTTGGGATCATCTCCACTCTCATGATCCTGTTCCCTGAATTATCCTGTCCATCCTAATTCAGGTTCCCTACAGCCCTATTCTCAATCTCTTTACAACTACCCATCTATATTTAAAGTTACGCAAGTCTCTTTCCTCTTAATGCAGACACACACATCCTTTGAATTCACACAGCTCTGCAACGACCACACTGTTTAGTTTTTGCTGCCACACTTGTTTCTCCAAGCTGCTCCTGTTTCTGCTCTCCCACCTGGAGTCCTTCCTTCAGATCTCCTTCCTGTGGCAAACAAGGCATTCACTTCTCCATTTCCCTCCTCCGGGGGCTCTGGTGGTTCTGCCTCACTTGCTTGACGTGGGCTACTATTACCATCTACTATTACCCAAATCTACCTCAACTAAAGCATCTATTCGAGTTCCAAACCCAGGCGACTCAATACACTTAAACTTCAAATTGTTTAAAATATAACTCATTAAAAATTCCACTTCAGGAACTGAATTTTGGGCAGGTGAATGAATGAGGGAACTTTCTGGGTGATGTGCAATGTTCTACACCTAAAAGAAATCTGGGTTATACAGTGTATAAATCTGCCCAAACCCAAACCTGGGTTTTAGAGGAAATATCTAATATCCACAAAACACTTCAAAAGACTTCAAAAAAGATGAGATAGAGAATAACTAGAGGAATGGCTAGATAGACCAGAAAGTAGATCATATGTTAAAAATAAAAATACTAAAAATTTAAAGTCAAGAAGGTAAATTCAACGGACATAACTACATGTTGGCAATTTTCACAAAAAAAAAAAATATTAGGAGAAAACAAAGCCTCTCCCATCGCAAACATGGAACAGGAAGTATACTTGCCTTTCCCAAAGGCCCTTATCTCAGTGGCAGCACTGCCACCCAACGACGTGGGCCAGAGAGCCGAGTGCTGCCCTGACCTTGGCTTTTATACCATCTGGAGCCCAATCACTGCCCTTTTTCACCTCTCCACGAGGGGTTCTTCTCTCCACCGTGGCTGCCAGGCCCCACAAACTCTGGTCTTCTCTAAGTTTTTCAGGTCTGCCATTTTGCAATTCAGGTTTTACGCATAAGTCAGAAAGATTTTTCCTAAGTCCAGAAGTGATGTCTTCCTGCTTACAATTCTCTCAAGTCATCCATTTGCTTTACTTACCACCCGACCTGTGACTGCTGACTGCATCTCTCTCCTCAGGGACTCTCCTCACTATCACTCCAATCTGCTCACACACACACACACACACATACACACTCGTGTGCTACACTGTTTGGAAAGCTCTCCCACTGTCTGAGTGCATCACCCTTCTTTGCGCTCAGCAGCCACTGCACACACTGCCCTTGTCTGCAGTACTTCAGCCCTTCCCTGTGGCTGACTTAGCCAGCCAACAGTGCAGAAGTTACTTCTATTTTCTTCTTTTAACACAGCCCAGCCATGGTCATGACAGTGTTCTGTTTCCACCCTGGCACCCAGTGTGCTCTCCTGGTACAGTCCTGTACTTACCTGTTCCCTTGTATCTCTCCACCCTTGGGTGGACAAGTTCATTGTTGTGCCTATAATAGTTCAACATCAGCATCATGACTAGAATGTAGAGGACATGCAATGAATCTCTACTAAGCCAGTTTATCACTCCAACAAATAGTGTTTCATTTCTGTGAGAAATTGTCTGTGTTTCACAAAATGGGGGGGGAAAAAAAGGAAATAAAGTTTTATGCTACTTACTAGAAAACCTCTTTCTTCAACATTTGAATTCACTTGACACTTTATTTTCAGGTAAATATGACCCTCCAAAGGAGATAAAAAGGGCACCTGCGAAGAAAGAGGAAAATTTTGCAAAATTGTTTCCATGTGTGATTTTTCTTGACAAAACACATATAGATCACCAACAGATAATATTATACCTTGAAAACATAGCATTTTCTCAAACTAGAATATAAAATATATGCACTAAAAGCCAAGGGTTCCTTAGCAACAAGCAGCATTGAAGAAGAAAATTCATTCAAGATCTATCTTGAAGGAAACAAATGTCCTAAATCCCAAGCAGATGTGAGAAAGAAAAACGGATTTAGGTAAAAAAACGACTGTTCACACACACTCTGTCACAGGAGAGAACGTTCAGTGGGAGACTGGAGACCACGCAGTAAGTTCCTAGACACAGGGGCAGAGGTCAGAACACAGCAAGTTCATTTGGGCAGCAGGTGAGGCAGCTCGAAGCGCTCGGGGCCCCGCCAAGCCCATGGGAGAACGGATGGTGCTCCGGGCTTCTGGCTTCCACCTGTCCCATCCTGGCTGTGAACCAACCAGGAGAGTGAGCCAAGAGCAGGAGGGCCTCTCTGTCTCTATCTGATTCTCTCTCTCTGTATGTGTTTCTGCCTTTCATGTAGATGAGAATAAACATTTTTTTTTTAATCACACAGGGACAACACTGTGGCACAGTGGGTTAAGTCACCATCTGCTTGAATTCTGACCCAGCTCCCTGATAATGTGCCTGGAAAAGCAGCAGAAGATATTCCAGGTTCTTGGGCTCCTGCCACACGTGTAGGAGACTCAGCTGAAGCCCCTGGCTCCTGGGTTTGGCCCAGCAGAGCCCCATTGAAGCCATTTGGGGGGTGAATCAGTGAATGGAGAATATCTCCTCTGAACAACTCTGGCTTTCAAATAAATAAAAGAAGGAATCTTTACAAAACAGTTCATACAATTTAATTCAGCAACAAACAACAGTAAATTGCAAAAATAACAGCCAATCCTTGAATTCCTACAGAACTGTAAGGCAGTAAACAACCAAAGCAATCTTGCAAGAATGGACAAAGTTAGAGGTATCTCAGTTCCCCATTTTAAAAATGAGCTGTGGTACAGTGTGGCATAAGTACAGACATATAGACAAAAGGAACGAAATCAAAAAACCGAGACAATCTCAGACAGTGATGCCCAGACCATTCCGAAACAAGCAGCAGAGCTTTAAAAAAATGTACTGAGAAATTTGGAAATCTATATGTAATGTGAATGAAGGTGGACCTCCACCTCATACCATATACAAAACTTAACTCAAAATGGCTAAGATCTAAACATGACAGTAAAATTTATAACTCTTTAAAGCACAGAAGACTTCATGATTACAGACTTGGCAATGAAATCTCAACTTTGGTATCAAAAGTATAAGCATAACATAGGGAAAAAAATAACATTTTATCAAAATTAAAACTTTTCTGTATAGAGGCACCTCAAAAATCGGAAAAAGAAGGAAATCCTCTAATATACTGTTACATGTATGAAACTAGGGGACATTACAGTAAATGAGATAGCTCAGAACAGAAGAACAAACACGGGGGTGGGGGTGTCCAGTGCTGTAGTGTAGTATGTTAAGCAGCCACTTGCAGTGCCAACATCCAATGTGGGCACTGAATCAAGACCTGGCAGCTCGATTTCTGATTCAGCTCCTGCTATTATGCCTGAGAAAAGCAGCAGCAGAAGATCCAAGTGCTTGGGCCCCCACACCCAGGCAGGAGACCCAGAAGCAGCTCTGGGCACCTGGCTTTGGTCTGGCACAGCCCCAGCCTTTGTGGCCACTTGTGGATTGAACCAGCGAATGGAAAGCCTGTCTCTCTCTCTCTTTCTCTCTCTTTCTATAATTTTGCCTTTCAAATAAAATGTTTTTAAATGACAAATATTGTAGGATTTCACTCATATGCGGTATCTGAAGAAATTAAATTCACAGAAACAGAAAACAGGAGGGAGTTAGGGGAAAGGGGAAAAGCAGAGTTGCTGTTTGATGGTACGGAATCCAGTCATATGAGACAAAAACATGTAAAGGGCAAATCTCTTGTGATTCACTACAATAAAAAATCAGAACCAAAGCACATATCAAGAAAGCAAAGGGGCAACCCACAGAGCTGGGGACAATACTTGCAAATCACCCAGCTGATAACCCTCTAGTACTGAGACTATATAAGGAACTGTCCAACTCAACAACAAGATAATCAGCTCAAGTATCTGAACTAACGTTTGGCAAAAGATACCCATTTACATCTTGCACTGAAAACATGAGAAACTGCTCAATATTCAAAATCATTAGGAAAATGCAAAGGATTCCCAAGCAAGGTGCCACTTCACAGCCAGAGTAACAGTGATGGCAAGCATCTGGAAAAACGAGAATCCACATTATTGGTAAATACAGCAAAATGGTGTGGTGCTAGGACAGTTTGAGAGTTCCTAGAAAGATTAAGCAGAATTATCATGTGATCACACAAATCCACTCCATATAGACAAAGAAGAACTGAAAACAGGCACCCAAAACAATTACAGGCACACTTGCTCAGAGTAGCATTATTCACAATACTCAAAAGGTGAAAACAGTCCAAATGTTGATGAACAGATGGCTAAAAATGTATCTGTATATAAAAGAGAATAGCAATCAGCAATAAGAAGGAATGAGGTTCTGACACATGCTGCATCATGACTGCACCTTCCACACACGCTAAGTGAAAGAAATCAGAAAAAAAAAATCACATTATCATATGCTTATATTTATATGAAATACAACAGATATAACCCCCACACACAAAACACAGATTTCAGTACATGGAAGGACAAAACTACTGTATAATTTTGGTTTATAGTTACTAATTTTGTTATTTTATTTGATATTCAGGATAATCAATACCATAGTGAATACAGAATCTTAAAGATTTATAAATAAATGGAAAAATACAGAGAGAAAAAAACCCAAACACCAAACATGCAAGAAGAAAATAGAGAAGTTGGCAGACAGTGAGAGCAGAGAAAGTGATGCCCATCTGAGAGTATAAAGAAGGAATAATGTCCTTAATTATGCAAAGTAACCAAAAACATGAGAGTAGTTAGTCAATAAATACATACAGATCAAAAACTAACGACTAATTTTTAAGCTCATTAGTTTCAAGCAAAGAAAATATGGCAACCTTTTCCTGGAACAAATAGCCAAGTAGCTCTCGCTCTTTTAGACCATAATTTATCTAAAACAAACAAAATAAAAGAAAAAGAAAAAAAATCCAGTATCATTCAATTTGTTAATCTATCTGGGTTACTAAAGTTACATAAATTTTTAAAATTATCATACTAATATATCTATGCATTAACAGGAGCTGAAATTTCAAATTCAAACTACATGCTTTTTAAAATGCAGCAACCAAAAGAAAACATTTCAAATTTTAAAGTTTGGTTGTTTTAAGCTAAACTAATATTCTACACTAAGAAATCAAGTGACTTTGTTCACTGTTAAAGGTTAAGTTACTATCGGGGAAAGTACTCAAAAGGCTTTTAAACTTTAAATTCTTCGCCTTTATATTCTAACCATAGAAATCTCTTAAAATAATGCAAAATGTGTTGTATTATACATAGTAGGAGTCAAATCAAATAGCAGCTTGCTCCTTTTTTAGCTAGCAAAAATTTAATTATATCACATCCTGGTGATAAAAGTCCATTTACTCACAAGTTCTTAAGAGATTAAACTATCTTTCCCTGTATGGTCAAAACTAAATCTAAAATATATTGCTCCTTTGAAAACAACAGATCAAACAGTCCTAAAATTATAAATTTTACATGCAAGAAGCATACTTCTTTAGCCTGAAGTGACAGAATAAATCAGCATATATTATTTTGAAAAAAATCTAGGTATATAAATGCAAGAAATGCCTCCTACAACTAGAAATTTATTATTTAGATAGTTAAAAAGAACAAAAATTTTTGGTCAAACAGTTTAAATACTTGGTGGCATTTCCTTTGACTTCATTTCTATTTAAAAAATTTAAAAACCACAACTTTATAATAAAATCAGATTACCTTCTCAAGAGCAAACTTAGTGTTTCCTACTGAAGCCAGCGACAGCGTGTAAGATCCAACAAGGGCAAAGTTGCTGGTGCGCACAGCATTTAGACCTCCTGGGCTCGCCATGACTGCAAAGAAGGAAGAGTGGGTTTTTTAATGAAAATAAAAATCCCTCACCCCACTCAAATAAAATGAAGAAGAAATTAACCTAACACAAAGAAAACTGTTTCATTTTCCACCATTTATTGAATAGTACTGAAAATAAATCAACATATTTCCTAAAAATAAAAGTGGAAATTTGTTTTCAAATAAGGTACAGGATTTTTAAACACTAGCCATTCATGCATATTTGAAGGTGTAGAATCTAAACATGTATACATACATAAAAAGGCAACTTTCCCATAAAAAACATGAAAAGGATTTCATTGCTCCTGCTGCTCCAGGGAGACAGAATTAACAGCAGAGGACGTTCGTGCACAGGGCTCCCCAGCATCGCTACTGTGCACCAAGAAGAGATCAACAGCCAAAGTGAGAAAACCAGCTCTGCCCAAATCCCCTTTGGAAAACTTCAGTCTAAAGTCATTCGAGAGAGGGATTCCAGCTTACTGGCCCTCCAGTTCCAGGGAACTAAGATGCTTTTCTGACAGGATACAGTGCCATTCAAGACCAACAAAGTTATTTAAAGAGAAGAACAAAAGTGCTTGACATAACAAAAGTTGAGATAAAGATTAATGTTACCAGCTGCGATTGTTAAACCACATGTATACGCTACAGCCTGAGTAATGTGATGGCTGGTAGCCCACTGTGGTGTCCAACTAAGGGCAAGCAGACTGTATACTACTCCAGCTAGTAGTCGCACATGCAACTTAAAACACATACAAAACTTTAATCCAAAAGAGATCAAGGACTCGTCAATCAAGAAGGCCTACAGATAAACGCAGGCATATCATCTTAGTAAGCATCCTTTTCCTTATCCTAAAGTTCTAAATAGATCAGGACCTACTCACCTGAGGAATGAAGGGTGCTTTTCTACCAAAAGATGGAAAAGAAAAATCAACAGGTTATTTCCTATATTTGTTAAGAAGATTTCAATATTAAAATCTTTAACTTGATTTAAAAAAAAATTCTAAAACATTTTCCCATGTAAATATGTAGGATCCCCTCCCCAGTAGTACACTTTAAAGATTGTCTTGGTACTAAATGTTTAGAATTCATTAACCAAGTTATAATTTTAAGTTTCAATGAAGTTCAGTGTCTCAGACATTCTACTTACTGCAGTTATAGATGAGAGGAATCGCTTTGGAGTAATAGCCTAAAAGAAAAGAGAGCTTAGTGTATTTCTAGTTAATAAACATAGTGATTCAGAGTTTAAAACTTAGCAACCCTGAGACAGTCTCACATGGAAAACGTTTTTTTTAGAAAACATTTTTTTTTTAAGAAAGAGATTTACTCATTTGAAAGGCAAAGTTAAATTACACAGAAGGGGTGAGAAGACAAATTGATCTTCCACCTGCTGGTTCACTCCTCAAATGTCCCCACTGGACAGGACGGGGACAAACTGAAGCCAGGAACTCCACCAGGTGTCCCAGAGAGTTGGAAGGGAACATCTGCTGCTTGCCCAGGTATGTTAGCAGGGAGCTGGATCACAAGTGGAACAGCCAGAACCTGGACTGGTGTCCATATGGGATGCCAGCACCATAGGGAGCAGCTTAACCTGCTGTACCAACACAGCAGTTCCAGAATATAAATTATAAGAAGTTAAACTTGACTTCTTCATTAAGGTTTTCATTACTGTCATTCATTTTTTTTGTTAGAGCTAAAGAGCTTTTTGATGATGACTTAGGGAAAGAACAAAGCAAAGACCAGCAAAGCAGAAAGTGGGCCGGAGGTTCTGATGCAGAGGACTCAATAAGATAAGAGTTCAAAGGAATGTCTTGAGGAAGTTTTAATCAGATATGAAAGGCAGCTGTCCAGTAAATGCAAAGGAAAATTTACATAGCTTGAGTATATTAGGAGGCGATACTGGGATCACAATCGTTCCTAGTAAGCTTACTTTTTGTATTTGTAGATGAGACATAAAACTGAAAATTTTCATAATTGTTAAAAATTGTCATATAATTAAAACTAGTGGTGACAATGTTCATTACTTCTGGTCACACTTTCACTGGGCGTCTTTTCTTTCTTACCTTGGATTTTGATGGCTTTTTCTTCTTATCAGGGCCTGAGAGATCTTTCTTTTGTACCTGCACACAAATCCACAACAGAATTGGTTTATAATTTCATGATTAAGGAAAATGTAACGCTAGTCCTTTCAGATAGCTTCAATTCTTACCAAGCTATAAACTTCAATATTTATTTCGAAGTCATTGGATACATCTTGTCTGGAAAAAAGCAGTAAATAGAACTATAAGAAAAATCTCAAGTTTTGCCATTAAAAATGATGCCAAAAATAATATTGTAAGACTCTAAAGGAATTCACTATTTTCTTCTAAAGACAATAAAAAATTATTCACAGTCTATTTTTTCCTATAACACAAATCTTTTCATTAAGACTGCATACTGGCAAGGTGTTTAGTCTGGCCATGAACATATCCAGGTTCCACATCGGAGTGCCTGGTTTCAGCACCCAGGTGCAGCTCCTGGCACTGACGGCCCTGACAGTGATTGGTCTCCCCCACCCAAGTACTAGATCTGGACAAATGCCTGGTGCCCAGCTTCAGTCTGCACTCAGCCCCCACTATGAACACGTGGGAGTAAGCCAATCACTAGTCGGGGCACTCTGCGCTCTCTCTGCATTCCCTTCCTCTGAAAAAAGTAAAAAATTTTAAGTAGTTCTCTGAACCCTTAATTCACAGATATATTTGGAAGTTTCATTATTGAATAAAAAAATCATATATTAAGTACAGTTTGAGATTCAAGATATATATACAAAATTAATACCGATTTAAGTATGGATTTCAAAATGTTACACACCTATAGTCTTATGGAAGAAATGTGCTATTCTATGAAGGAAATATCAGAAACAGATCAGTCTTAAATCAACAATTTGAAAACAGAATTGTCTATCTGAGAAGAATATAATGCAGTTCAAAAATTAAGTGACCTGCATGTTCAAGCCCTGAGAACTCCATTAAATTAACACTGTGCTTGAGCATCGAAAGCCTAATTGACTTACAGAGTGAATGTGGTGGTGAAAGTCAGAGCATCGCCATTGAGAGAGTTTGAAATACTCGCTAATGGTGTGGCTACCATATTCTCAGCTCCTGCTTTTAGTATAATTAAGTAATAGTAATTTGCGGCATCTGCAAGACACAACCATATTACACAAGTGAAAGAAGTAAAATCAGATTTAGCTTATCAATATTATAGAATACTAAAAGAATAAGACAACATTGCAATTGATTTATGTACTATTTTTGTAAACATTACTAAAATTAATTTTCAAGACACAAGAAAACTTGAAAAAATAAATCTGAAAGAGACATCAAGCCTTTTCCCTAGTAGTTGAAATAACTTTACACCACATACTTTAATATTTGCCGATTTCAATTTTAATTAGTGACCCCTAATTCATCAGCTAATAGGATATATTTCAAAGGGTAAGTTATGGTTTAAGTATTTCAAAAATGAGATTAAAATATTATCCTTGATGAGGGACTTAGAGATAGTTTAAAAAAAAAAACAAGATTTATTCATTATTTCATATTAAATAATCATAAATGTTAAGGTGCATACTAAAAATTACCAATTGATACTAAAATAACAGCAGAAACTAGAATTCGATTATTTCATTCCTACAATAATGCTTAAACTTTTAAACATCTCCTCTCCTGATTTTCCTAGTACCTCAACTTCACTTCTCACCAGTGGCTTAGAGTTCAAAGAAATTCTCCCTCAAAGGAAATGTTCTACATAAATAAATACTTAAAGGAATCTTAAAAAAAAAAACCTCCAATATTTCACAAAACTTTAATCTTACATTGGCTAGAATCTCCCTACTGCTTTATCAGATAGTATTAACATTCTTCTTTACTTCCTCTGCTTATACATGGTTTTAGTAAAACACCAACTTTGACTATACAACTCAGAGGGATGAAGTGAATAAAATTTCAAAAGTATTACCCACTGAGATGCTCACCACCCACACAGCCAGTGAGTCAAAAATTACACAAATTATTTTTATATTCTGAATTTTAAATAGAACAGTAAACATTTATTCCTTTTAGATGCCTTACTGATTCCTATAATAGTGAAATTAATTCATGAAAGCCAAATGGTCCTGTTTCGCCAGTATAATTCAGTATAATTCATCTGAGAAAAGTACTTCATGTTTAAAATTGTGTTCAGTCTTACTTTCTAGAGAGCTACGTCCATTGCTATGTAGATTTGTAAATTTACAGATGAAATCTTCTGTTAGTTATTTATATATAAATAAAATAAACTAGGAACTTTCTTTACATATGCTGTCCTTTCTTGCGTAATTCTCACCTAGGTGGAACTCACAATTTAACACTGTGACCTAGAAGCAAATGATGCAACTCGGAAGCACATACCTGGTTTCTGAGATGTACTGCACACAAAGTCAGCTTTAAGGGGCAGGCGGATCTCTGACAAAGTAACTGATCCCCTGGATGGGACAAACTCATCCCGGGATTTGGCACCAGCCCTGTTCTTCCTCTGAGGCCCCTCACTCTTCAATCTGCTCAACTCATCCATCAACAGCATTCTCTTCTCAGCTGTGCAGAAATATATCATATTGCAAATATTAAAATTTCAACTGTTTCTCAATAAGAACCAACTAAAGAAAGTGCACTATTGACAACTGTACAGAAGACAAAAGATAAAATCAATAACTGTCTTTACATAAATAAGTAGTAGGTGGTTGGGCAAAACTTTGATTATTTACCTGTTTACCAAGTCCCTATAACTAAACGTGGTAAGTTTTCTTGCATAATATCATCTCTACACTTCAACATGCCCTATCATTATCACAAATACACACAACAAAACTCACAGAAGTGGTTTTAGCTTTAATAGATAGACAGAAGAGAAAGAGTATATACATATTCATTTTATTTTAAGATTTTTATTTTATTTTTATTGGAAAGTCAGATATACAGAGAGGAGGAGAGACAGAGGAAGAACTTCCATCCAATAATTCACTCCCCAAGTAACTGCAATAGCTGGTGCTGTGCCGATCCAAAGCCAGGATCCAGGAACTTCCTCCAGGTCTCCAGGTGCAGGGTCCCAAGGCTCTGGGCCATCCTTGACTGCTTTTCCATGCCACAAGCAGGAAGCTGGATGGAAAGTGGAGCTGCTGGGATTAGAACCGGCACCGATATGGGATCCTGGCGTGTTCAAGGCAAAGACTTTACCCACTAGGCTACCACGCTGGGCCCTATACATGTTCATTTTTAAGATAATCTTTATAACTGCATTTCTTCAAATGTACTTCAGCTGATTGTACCTTTCATGCAAATTACATTTTATTTTACATAGAAAGTTTTTATGAACCCTTTAAATAATTAAAAATGTATATAAAAGGGGCCAGTATTATGGTTCAATAAGTCAAACTACCATCTATGACACTGGTATCCCATGCAGCAATGCCAGTTCAAGTCCCAGTGTTCCATTTCTGATCCAACTTCCTGATTAATGTGCCTGGAAAGTGGCAGAGGTTGACCATGGCCTTGGGTACCTGTCACTCACACAGGGGACAGACTGGGATGGAATCCCTGGCTCCAAGCTCCTAGCCCCAGCTACTGCAGCCATTTATGCAAACATCACATTCCCTAGAATCTTCTCTGCCACTCCCTCTCGGTAATTTGGCTCTTCAAATACATAAGTAAAATACATAAATTATTTTAAAAACAGATAAACTGAAACACGATCAGAAAATCTTTCCTTTTGCATAAATTTAGCAATTTCTGAATATACAAGAGGAAATGAGTTTTCCTTGATTGGAAATTTTCTCGGAATTACTTCTTGCACATCACGCTTACTTGCAATGAGGAGAAGTCTTTCTGCTTCTGCTTCTTCCAGGGACCCTTTTCCATGCTCTTCATCCACGCAGCAGTTGAGGGCTTGGCTAGCTTGATAGATCACAGTCTGCTGCAAATTGATCTCATTGTTGAGTTCCTTATTATAAGGAAAACCAAAGAAAAGAGGGAAAAAAGTAGAGTTTACTCACCACTTTTACTTCATTGAAACTTGAATTCTCACAAACCTGGATAATCTCTAAAATTCCCAGTTAGGCCAGAATGCTACAGCCTTACTCTTCCAAGTTTCTAGGTTACACATCAAGTATATTCAACATGTTAAAATACTCATACCATAAACATTCTTCCTTATAAGACTTCTGACCCACTTATTACATCTATAATTGGGGCTATTGCCAACAAAGTAAAAATTCAGAAAGAATTATGATCCTGTCATCTTCTCGGAAATGCTTTCCTAAGCATCTAAAAATCTCACGCAGCACAATAAATTCTACACTTTCGCCATCACCACTTACGCTAAAGTTATTCCAGCAATAGCAAATTTCCAATTTTTTTTTAAACACAAGTTCTTTTCTGATGTTAAACTGAATCCAAGAATGAATTAATGAATTCCTTTGCATCAGGCACCATCCTAGTTCCTCAAGGTCCTGAGACAAGTATGGCTGGGCCCCTGTCCCTAATGAGTTCACAATCCAGCACAAATATTCAAAATCCCCATGCTACAGAAGAGCATACCTGCATTTTTTGTTTGATATTAACTTGACAGGGAAAGGCATCCTTTTTTTCATCTATTCTTGAAGTAGCATCTTCTTTCCGGACAATCACCTGTTTTATTGAAGGACGTTCTGTTTCTTTGAATCTTTGAGATCTATATGCATCAATGCTTGAGAAAATAAGGTATACTCTATCAGAAGCATGGCAGTAGACATTGAGCACTATCTTTTATTGAACAGATCACCAGATTTTGATATTTATATTGAACTTATCAGAAAAGCCTTTTGCCAAAATGCAAAGGCCCTTAGGTCAAAGAGAAGCTGGCACGTTACTCCAAACTTGGAAAAAGGTGTTATTCACTAAAACAGTAATCACCAAGAATAGCACATGAAGTCACTTGACTCACACATTTCCAGAAGGTTCCTACCTGTAAAGGAGATCGCGCTCCTCAGAACCGATGCTATCACCAGACTCAGCTCGAGGGACACGGGTCCTTTGGAATTTTCCTGGTTTGGGACTTTCATCACTTACGCTAGTACCTTTCAATTCCAGTCTAGGTGAGGAGACTAAACTCTGCACAAAAGCACATCAATTACAAGTAAATTCTATGGACAAATTAACTTGGTTCTAAAGATTCATTTAATTCTGACAATAAGTTCACCATTATTAGGAAATAAGTTTTCAGCAAGATCTACCATAAGCAAAGCAAACTAAAATAAATTACTAAAGAGCAAAATAATAAACAGTGGCAAGGAGACAATTACAACATTATTAACTATTTATATATTTAATATATTATATTTAATATATTTTAAAATATTTCTCACTAGGGCTGGCACCACAGCACAGTGAGCCACCACCTGTGACTATGCATCCTATATTGGAGCTCCAGATAGTGTTTGAGCTGTTCTGTTTTTTTGATACAGCTCCCTGCTAATGTGCCTGGGAAGGCAGTGGAAGATGACACAAATACTTGGCACCCTGCCACCCATGTAGAAGACCCCACTGGAGTTCTACGCTCCTAGCTTCAGACTGACTCAACTCTGATCATTGAAATTATTTGGGCACTGAACCAGCAAATGACAAATCTCCGTCTCTTCCTCTCTGTAACTTTTTCAAATAAATAAAATAAAATTTTTAAAAGCATTTTCTAACCAGAGCACTCTCCAGAGCAGATGATGTCATTTAGAGTGACATCTGTCTATAGCACTTGGCTCTCAACAGATGGTAATTACAATACTTCCGATGCTAAAGATTAATTCACTAATATAACTGCACATTCACATCCATCTTATTGGAAAGTGCTACTGCTAAATTCGTTTAACACATGAAGGAACTATAGATAATCGAATGTGGGAGATCGCCCCTAGATCTCTGCCTGCTACCTGGTAGGCATGACGCATAGCTTGCCTGCCCATTACCTGAGACACAGCTTCCAGCCACACCTATCCTGTGACATGACAGGAGGGTCTAAACAGATAAGGCGTGCCTTGTAGTCAACTACAGTGTCACTGTTAGGTGAAGGGACTACTGGGAGACTCCCTCCTGCCCTCTCAATTCCTAGTCTATATAAGTTTATATTTTCTTCACAAGAAATGGAGATTCCCCCACCAGATTGTCCCTGGGGTCTTTGTGGCGAAAGTATACCATCGCCTCTCCCCTTGGGGGCCTCGGGGAGAGCTGGCAAGAAAAAATCCCCGAGAATCTAATAAACAATAAATAGGCAGAGGCAGAACTTGAATCCAAATGTTTGCTATTGAATTTTAATTTTGTTATTCTTTGAGCTTTGCCATACATCAATAAGAAGTCAAAGTTTTAAGCTGTCCTTTCAAAAATGTTTCATCAAGTTTGCAAAATCCTTCTGACTACAGAACGGCCAATGCCCATCCACTAATAACAAAAGGGTGAGTACAGACACTCCTCAGTGTGTTTATGTCAAGCCTGCTAACATTTAGTGTCTCCTTACCTCTGAACTTACCTCACCAACCGTCTGTGCTAACGGAGCAAGCAAAGACATCGAGGAGATATTCAGTGCATCTTCCTGGTCCTCACTGCTTTCTGCTTCCTCTTGGTCCATCTCCTCTTGGCTCTTCTCCAGATCTAATGCACCTTCCTCTAGGACATCACTGAAGATGTCATTAATGACTTTTGAACTATTGATGTCATCATCATCCACACTCATCTCAACTTCTCGCACCACTTCTGAAAAACATTGCAATAGGTAAACACGGATCCAGACCTTTGAGAACTACAGGGATAGCAAAGGTCGAGACCTAACATCCACAAGCTTAGTAAATCAACAAATGGGAAAAAGCCTGAAGGAAAAGCCCCTCTAAAACAAAACAATAAAATACTAATATATGAAACCAAGATAAAAATTCAAAGTTCCAAAAACATTTTGTGAAAACTGAAAGTTGGGTTTTTAAAAGCTGAGCTGATGCTTTCAATTTAAGAGTGTAACATAAAAACTAAAATTGTAAGTAATAGCCAAATGCTTTAGGATTTCCAAAAATGTCCTTTCAAATGACTCTTTCATATTGTTGGAAGCTGCTCTTTCACAAAGCAGAGTCAATAACTGGAAAATATTAATATCACGTAAAGGCAGGGTTCACAAACAAACTGCAGGGGCTTTTAACCCTATGCATGCAGAGAGCAGCCAGGTGGAGGGCAGAAGTCTCCGCATCAAAGTGAGTGGCCTAACAGTAACTGTTAACAGTATCACATCTTCATGTATGCTAGAATATTTTCTAATTTTAAACAAATGAAAGTATAAAAATAACATGTTTTGAAATATACAACACCATACATATGAATACATGCTTCTATCGACATATTATTTCTTATGGTATACCCAGAGTTAATAAGAAATAAAGATTGAAAACCAACCAGTCTGCTGTTCAATCTTTGGATCTGACACTACTTTTAAGGACTTCTCTTCTTCTAAAAACAACGTTATTTTCAAAGGGCTAGACTTCGTCATTTTGCAATCAGTAAAATCTAAAAAAAACAATTAAGAAACATAATTTTAATATACATAAGAACTTGGAGATTTTCAAACTGCTATTTGAGAGACAGAAATACAAGGGAGGTCCATTCTCTGCTCCACTTCATAAACACCTACAACAGCTAGGACCAAATCGGACTAAAGCCAGGCGCAGGGAACTCGATCCAGGCCTCCTGGAGGGGCAAGCACCTTACCATCTGAGCCATCACTGCCACCTCTAAGGTTTGTGTAGGCAAGAAACCGGAGGAAGGAGATGTGCCAGCATCAATCCCAGATACTCCAATGTGTGACATAAGGTTCTTTATAGATAGATCAAATGCCTGCCTTAGAATCCAGAATTTTTAAGTTGATTTTGTTCTCACTATAAAACTATGCATTTGTTTTTGTGTGCAGGTGTGTGTTTTTAAAAATTTGATTTTTATTGGACAATCAAATACACAGAGAGGAGGAAAGAGAGGAAGATCTGTGCAATGATTCACTTCCCAAGTGGCCGCAAAGGCTGGAGATGAGCCAATCCAAAGCCAGGAGTCTGGAGCCTCTTCTGGGTCTCCCACGTGGGGGAAGGGTCCCAAAGGTTTGAGTCGCCCTTGACTGCTTTCCCAGACCACAAGCAGGGAGCTAGATGGAAAGCGGGACATTTGTTAAAATATCCAAACTTGGGGCTTACATGCTGTGTCATCGCAAGTTAAATCTCTGCCTGCTATGCCAACATTCCATATGGGCATTATATCTGGCTATTCCACTTCTGATTCAGCTCCCAGCTAATGTCCCTGAAAAGCACATGGCCCAAGAGCTTGGGGACCACGCACCCACATGGGAAAACTTCGGAGGTTCCTGGCTTAGTCCTGGCCTAGCCCTGGCTCTTTTGACCATTTGGGGCAGCAAAACAGAGAATAGAAGATCAATCTCTTTATCTTTTCTGCTCTTTTTCTGCAACTCTACCTTTTAAAATATTAATAATAGGGGGGCCCGGCGGCATGGCCTAGCAGCTAAAGTCCTCGCCTTGAACGCCCCAGGATCCCATATGGGTGCTGGTTCTAATCCCGGTAGCTCCACTTCCCATCCAGCTCCCTGCTTGTGGCATGGAAAAGCAGTCGAGGACGGTCCAAAGCTTTGGGACCCTGTACCTGTGTGGGAGACCCGGAAGAAGTTCCTGGATCCTGGCTTTGGATCGGCATAGCTTTGGCCGTTGTGCTCACTTGGGGAGTGAATCATCAGATGGAAGTTCTTCCCCTCTGTCTCTCCTCCTCTCTGCATATCTCACTTTCCAATAAATAAATAAATGTTTAAAAATATATATATATATTAATAATAGGGCCTGACACAATAGTGTAGTGGTTAAAGTCCTCACCTTGCATGCACTGGGATGCCATACAGGTGTCGATTCTAATCCCAGTGGCCCCACTTCCCATCCAGCTCCCTGCTTGTGGCCTGGGAGAGCAGAAAAGGATGACCCAAAGCCTTGGGACCCTACACCCATGTTGGAAATCCAGAAATGCTCCTGGCTTCATATTGGCTAAGCTCCAACCATTGTGGTTGCTTGGGGAGTGAACCATCGGATGGAAGATCTTCCTTTCTGTCTCTCCTCTTCTCTGTATATCCGCCTTTCCAATAAAAATTAAAATAATATCTTAAAAAATATATTAGTAATATATATTAATGAAGTGTTTAAAATATTCAAATCTAGAAATGTTTGAAAGTAAGAATCATTCAAAACATCTGTCCTCTCCACGTCCCCATCTCTCTCTTCCTCCTCGCCAAGAGATGCGGACACCAACATGACCAGGTATAACTTCTTGTTTGTTTTCCCATTATGTGGACATGTTCGCTTTGTTGGATCATAAGGTGGTTTGATGGTGCTATACACGCTACCCCCATCTGACCCAGCTGTCCTTCTGAGCATATACCTGAAACGAATGCAATTAACCCCCCTAAGGGATCCCTGCATGCTCATGAGCATGTCAGCAGTATTCACAATAACACAATACAATCAACCTAGGTGTCCATCAATGCATGACTGGATAAAGAAAATGTGGCACCATACACAATAAAGTATTACCCAGCCACAAAAAAAATAAATACTAAAATGTGCAGCAAAATTAATTTGCAGAGGTCATTATGTTACCTGAAATAAGCCAGACACAGAAAGTACAAATATATTTTCATATTTGGACGAGAACAAAGTCTTTCACTGACTGGATCACTTCCCAAATGACTCCAATAGTTAAGGCTGGGTCAGGCAAAAGCCAGGAGGCAGGCCTCTCTCTTGGCGGGCAGGGGCCCATGCGTCTGTGCCACCACCTTCTGCCTCCCAGCACAAAGTCAGACGGACTCAAACAGGTCTTGGATATGGATGTGTAAGTCCCAAGTGGAAGCTTAATCCCCTTTCCATGATTTTTAAAATAAGACAGCTTTTTAAAATCTAACTATATTAGATATATTTATTGTCATTACAAAGCTACCTTATTCCTTCAGGCAGCCATATAATATTTGCTTATACAGATCTGACATAACTTATTTAAACAGTCTTTTACTGATGGTTACTTGGGTCAATTAAAATATTTTTTAAGGTTTATTTATTTGAAAGCAGAGTTACAGAGAAAGAGATAGACAGCAATCTTCCATTCACTGATTCACTCCCCAAATGGCTGCACAGCTAAGACTGGTCAGGATGAAACCAGGAGCCAAGAACTTCATCCTGGTGTCCCAGTGGGAGTGACAGGGTCCCTGTACTTAGGCCACCCTCCACTGCTTTCCCAGGCAGATTAGTGGGAGCTTGATCAGAAATAGAACAGCCAGGACTCGAACCAGTGACTATACGGGATGATGGCAAATAGTGGTTTAACCCACTATATCCTGGTAAATAAATAATGCTGGTCCTGTCAAAGTCTTCTTACCACTATAAGCAGGGCTGTAATGCATTTCTTTAAAAACATACCTTTGCATAATAGTTTTAGAAGTTATGTCATGGGCCCGGTTTGATAGTTTAGCAGCTACAGTCCTTGCCTTACATACACCGGGATCCCATATGGGCACCAGTTCATGTTCCACTGGCCCCACTTCCCATCCAGCTCCCTGCTTGTGGCCTGGGAGAGCAGTCAAGGATGACCTAAAGCCTTGGGACCCTGCACCCACATAGAAGACCCAGAGAAAGCTCCTGGCTCCAGATCAGTGCAGCTCTGGCTGGTGCAGCCACTTGGGGAGTGTATCAGCAGACGGATGATCTTCCTCTCTGTCTCTCCTCCACTCTGTATATATGACTTTCCAATAAAAATAAATAATTCTTTTTTAAAAAGGAAAAAAATGAATGTCACAGGAATACTGAAAAAGCAGAATTACTCAGCTTTGCACAGCAGTTAAGATGGCACTTTGGACAGCCTCCCTGTCCCATGCCAGAGTGCAGGGCTGGGATCCTCATTACTTCACGTCTGAGCCAGCTTTGTGCTAACAGCTGGGGAGGCAGCCATGTGGGAGGCCCAGAATGAGTTCAGGGTCCCTGGCTTCTGCCGGCCCAGCTATAGTTACTCTAGGCATTTGGGGAGTGAACCAACAGACTATCTGTGTCATTCAAGGAACATGAAAAGGAAAAGGCAAGGAGTATGCACATTTTAAATTCAATGGTACTATCAAATTTTTCTCCAAATAAAGTAGAAGTTAGACTACCTTCAGGAGCACGGATTTTCCCCACAGAAAGAGAACCAAAGGAGAAGCACACAGTAAGCTTGCAAATAGCTGAGTGGAAACCAAGAAGTGGATCTGTCTAGAGCAGAGTAGCTCTTCTGCTTTCCAATCCAGTTTTCACTCAAGTCAACTAAAAGCTACATTTTAAGCAAAGCTGAAATAGAAAACACCGACCTGCAGATGCTGTGTTGGGAGTTTTCTCTGGTGTCTGATTTACTGTCACCTTTTCTGTTACTGGAAGTGAGGGGGTATTTGAAACAACCTGATGTTTCCTGATGGGAGTGTTTTGAGAGAGGATTTCCTGCAAAAAGCACAGGAGGTGAATTTATTTTTTAAAGTTGCAGATATTGTCATTTTATACATTACTGAATGAAATAATTATTAAGTAGGATTCAATGTACGTTTCCTCAGAACAAGAGACTGTTTCTGAAAGGGCTCACCCTTGTGCTAAATCATATACTTGGTAAACACCCAATAGGTAAAATTTTTCTTAGAGACTAGAGGGCAAGAAGAACGAAAGCTCACACCATGTTCAATTTTAGGCAAAATAATTAAAGTGTAAGTCACAAATGGGAAAGGCAGATTTTTCTATGTTGCTTATCTCCACTCACACCTATACAGTCTGGTGGCAGTTCCTTCCTAGCCTTCACCAGAAAAGGAGGGGATGTTATTATCCAACTGAGGGTAACACTGCGGGGATTCAGTGATTAGTGAACGCATCCAACAGAAGCCTGACAGTCACTGTTCTCAGAGCCTTCCAGCTCTACCCTTTCCACACTGCTGGGTGCTGTCTCCCCACTAAGTCAGGCTCCTCCTGCATGGCCCTCTCCAGAACCCCGACAGTGTGCCCCACAACCTCGTCCCTAGCAACAAGCACTCCCACGGCCCCATCTTCATTATGTATCCCCTCCACCTTCTAGCCCTAAAAGTAATCTCACCCTGCCAAAAGGACTCAGATGAAATCAAGACTGTTCTCTCTCCTAACGGCTGCCAGCTGGAGGGACAGCCCTGGGCTCTGGTGACACATCCATGCTCTTACCCATCCTGTAAACAGCTCCTGCTGCCCTGAGGTGTGTGTCTTCCACCTCTATTTTCAACTTCTGCAGTTTTACTGGCTGCTTCCCATCAACCAAAAATTAGCTCGCACTCCCAGAATGGGCAAAGCAAACACAAACCATACTTTGCTTTTTCCTCCCCTCCAACCATCACTCTCCTTGTCCCCCCTCTCTGGAGCAATGCTGTCTATACTTTGTGGCTCTGCTCCTCACTTCCCAAATTCTCTTCAATCAATCACCACCTGCACTCTGTGCTCCCACTTCACTAAACTGCCCCTGCCCGTTACAGCATGCCGACCCATTCGACCCACTTGACAACACCTGACAGTCCCAACCACTCCTTCCTTCTCAAAGGACTTTTTCGTCCCTTGACTTTTCACAACAGCATGCTCTCAATTGCATGTCTTCCTACCTCTTTGCTACCTGAGCTTTTGGGAGGCAGGAGGCCTCTGTATATGTAGGGAAGTGTCACTGTGACCTGAAACAGCAAAGTCTGCATGGAGTGTTTTAATAAAACATCCCAACACCCCCTTGGTACCAAGTTCACTTTCACATTTCTGGTTCACCTCACCTGTTTGGCTTCCAACTGTTTGCTTCCTAAGTTTTTGCCTTTCTCTGCACTCCATAAATTGCCCTTGTCAAGTCGGCCACGGAGACAGGCCAGTTCTTTCTCACGCTCCTAAAACACGAAAGTCTTACTTTACACAAAAGTCAACAGTGTGTTTAAGAAGTCAAATACCACTACTGAAATAGTTCTGTCCCCCGTTTCAAATTTCAAAAAATATGATACACAAGGAATGTTGAATCAAGTTTACAATTCGAAATAAGTGATCCAGAGAATGATCATGTATTTATCTCAATCAAAAGGAGTATTAGAGTTCAGACTGATTTCCAGCTTCGATGCTAAGATTATAAAATAGACCATCTTCAAGACAGTGAGTCATACCTGCTTGAACTGTTGTGTCAAATGGGTGGTAGATGAGGACACATTTTGCTTAAATAGCCTCTCTTGGATGGCCTTTGTGTTTGGAGTGATTATGGGGGTTCTGTGAGGTGTGCTACGAGCTGGACTTTCCTTGCTGTGTTCTTGACAACGCTCTCCAAAGCGTTCCAGGAAAGGCTTAATTCCTCCGCCTCCTACAGAAAGCATTTTCAGGATAATTAAAAATAAGTAATAATTATAACGTTTAGGGGAAAAATTCTGTAACACATAATAACTCAAAAGGTTTTTCTAAAAAAAGGTTTATCTGTGGGGCTGACACAGTGGCACAACATGCTAATTCTCTATAAGGCTGTCATATAATATGGGTACTGGTTCGTGTCCTAATTTCCCATCTAGCTCTCTGATAATGGCCTAGGAAAACAGCAGAGGATGGCCCAAGTCCTTGAGCCCCTGTGCTCAAGTGGGAGAGCCATTAGAAGCTTCTGGCTGCTAGCCTCATATGGAGCTGCCAGCTCTGGCCTTGGCAGCCACCTAGGGAATGAACCAGCAGATGGAAGATATCTCTTTCTCATTCTTTCTCCCTCTCTTCCCTGCCTCCTGTCTCTCCTTCTCTAATTCTGATTTTCCAAATAAAAGAAACTTTAAAAAAATAATTTATTTGAGAGGCAGAGTGACAGAGAGATGGGAAGACAGAGAAAGTTTTACACACACACACACACACACACACACACACACGTTTTATCATCTATGGGTTCCAAATATCTGCAACAAGTTGGAACTCCACACATGGGTAGGAGGAAGCCAAGTACTCGGGCCACCATCCATGGCCTCCAAGGTACATTACCAAAAAGCTGCATCAGAAGCAGCACAGAACAGCCAGGACTGGAACCAGACCCTCTGATAGGGGATGAGGGCACCCCAGGCAGCAGCTTAAAGGGCCATGCCACAACATCTGCCCAGAATGCCTTAATTCCAAAGTCACAAAGTAAACAGCAAGAAAAGGGTTCAGAAATCCCATTTAATTGCATGCTGTATAATTTACCATACAAGATTTAACGCTTTAAAAAATTGTTTAAAGGAGGCAGACTGGGAAGGCAGTAGGAATTAGAAAACTCAAACTGAACCAGCAGAATTTAAGTGTTTGCAAATCGACTGTTACTAATAAAATTGTGGTTAGTCACCAAGTATCTTGGCCAGGCTAACATCATACAATACTGTAGTCCAATTTGTTTTTATCTTACTTTTGAAAAGCTTAACACTTAAAAATCTTGAATGTTTGTTTTCCTTTTCCTCCTCAAGAGGAAAATTTAATCAAAACAACCACTCATAAAATTTTTTTTTAATTTTGTACCAAAATAAACACATCTTCTATTTCCATTTTCCATGGATTTTTTGAAGATCCCTTGTTATCTCTAAGGCCCTGATAATGTGATTTAGAATATATCTGATAGCCAAGAATAATTACAAAGAACGATTCTTGTTTAAGCCTAAGGCTCTAGGGAATTAAGAGTAATGAGCCCTATTTCATGTAAGCATCTTGCTGTTATTTTCCATTCTCATTTTGGTCATCTGACAACTACAAATTTCTACTTAGCACAAAACTAACGACTTCCCATTCTGATCTGTCTTCTATGCCCTTTATAATGAACTATGGATCATTATAATGAACAGTGATTATATTTTCAAAAAGCTGGAATTTAGAATTAAGACAGTCATTCCAATGAAAAAGAACATGTTATTTATAAGCATACACCCAAAGTTTCATGAAAAACAAGTATGAAAAACCTATTGCATTGATTTCAAATTTTTGTGCACCAAAATAAATTCTCAATCTTGATTCTCCATGATCTTGCTGCAATCCTCTTATACTTTTACTAAAGGTTTTAATCCTACATTTTTTATCAAATACTATATGGAGTGTATCAGGAGGTATACACAGCATTTTCTAGAGCATCAGTTTACATGATAAGAACACAATTAACACACATAAACATAACAGAAGTCAAGTCATCAGTATGTATATCCACCTCTCTCTGCTACTTGGACTGCCTTCATAATGAAGATTATACAGTACTGCTTTACACACTTGATCACAAGAATGTTTCCCAATTATGCTCCGAAAATGCAATTTCCAGTTATAAATGCCTTGTTTATATCAAAAATTGAAAGTATGGCTTAACACAATCATGCTAGCAAATATATATTAGCCATATTTTGACCAGTAAATGAGATAGTCTTTATTCACAAATATTCATTCAACCAATTAAAGCGGAACAACTCTCACTTGGAATATCTGTGCATATGCCCTGGTAAACCAACACTGTAATATTCATAACTGAGTATTTAAAATGTTGAGAATAATATCCTCAATATAGTCAGCAGCAATTTTAGATGTTCAAAAAATGCCCAACCTGGTGTTGTTGATTTGTCTTTAGTTTGAGACTGTAAACAGATTTCTCTTTTTGGTTCTTCTTTGGGCGGAACTATTTGGGACCCAGTTGACTTTACAATGGGTTTCGATGTCTCTATTTTCAGAGGACTAACAGGAGTTTTTTGAAGACGCTCAGGATTTTGTACCTCACAAGTTTTAGTATTGGTGAATTGTACGGGAGATTTCACAGGGGATGAAGCTGCTTTCTGAAACATAATAATAGGATACACCACATTTGCCACTTCTACAGGATAGTCATATTAAAACAACACAAATACTAATGACTTGCCAGCCTTTATGAAAGTCTTAGAAATAAAACATTCTTACTCTCTCATATGTCAAAATAATTTGAAAGACAGGGAGAAATCAACTTAGAAAACACTTTAATTTAAATTATAGTAAATAGTTAAGTCTGTATAATGTATCGAAAGGCCATTATTAGGGGTAGAGGTCACTTCCTATCTAAAATTTTTTTCTATATTATTGCACTAATGCATTCATTAAATTTTTATTGATATTAGATCAAATTGCACTTAACTTGTAGTTTAATTCAATATAAGTTTAACAAGTTATAGGTTGAGTATTTCTGTTCTGAAATATTTTGATTCAGAGGCATATTAAAGACTGGATTCTGGAATACATTACAAGATAACATGGAGATGAAACCCAAGCCTAAACGTGAAACTCATACACACTTCATATATACCTGGAAAAAATATCCTCAAAATTAATTTTATATAATAGAGCTTATAATTTTAGTGATTCTGAGCACAAAACAAAGTTTGATGGCATTGATTTTACACGAGTGGTGTCATGTCAAAAAGCATCAGATTTTCAAATTGGAGATGACTGCTCAACTTGCACTATCCAGTACCTGCGGGCTAATTATAACAAAGCATTAAGTACTTACAACAAAGGCGAGCACTCTGCTAAGGGGTTTATGCATGCTATCTTAGTTAAAGTCCCTCAATAACCCTTTTTTCTTTCTCATGTAGAAATAAAAAGCTTTGCAGAAAGATTCACCTATTAAAGTTATACTTCTAATTATATGGCAGAACTGGGACTGAATGAAGGTCTAATTCCAAAACCAGGGCATACAACAAGGACAATGGTTAGAAATACAACATTTATGAAAATCAACTATGTAAACATCATCCAAAAAACCCCACTTTGTCCTTTTTTTTTTAAGTTTTTTAAAACTGCAGAAGTAAAACATTCACAAAGTAAAATTTTCTTATATTTCAAATGAACACAAAGTGAAAATGTAATACCATCCTGATACTCATACTTGGCAATTTATCTTCCTGGAGGTAAATAATCACTAGTTTTTTCAGTCTTTCAGAAATACCAGTTTCTTATATTTATATATCTATTCAAAGCCTCCTAAAAGAGGAAATCATTTTCACTGCTTCCTTTGATGATCAAGAAATAGTTGTCATTCTACTATTATATTTTTTGGATTTGCCCTAAATAAGTGTAATTTGAATGTTCGACTGCTAGTTCATCTTGTGATAGGGTATCAAGTTAATTTACTTTCTATGAAACTGGTATTTTAAAAACACATATAAAAATTCGACATGTTCTATAGTCTATATTCATATGCAATCACTATCACTCCTATCAACAACAAAAAGACTTCCAAAGACAAAACCGTTGTCACTTACCACAGAGCTAGAAACTGAAGCATTAACCAAAGATGCGTCAGCAGCAGTAGAGGATGGGACGTTATGCAAAGAGGCATCGCCATCCCTTTGGGAACAGCATGTAGCTTCCTGCTTAACACTGCTGCTATTGATCCCAACAGATGCTCCACTTGCAGAGGAAAATTTGGATAAACAAGTGGTGCCAGGCTGTTCTTGTACATTGTTGTGTTTCGCAGATGAGTAATTTACATCATCTTCCCAGGAGCCAATAGTTGCAGCAAGGTTGGCCAGACGGCCCCTTCGCCCTACTGGGGTTGCTGAGGTGTCTGCAAGTGGGGGCTTGGGTGGAGAGGCAGCCTTCTTCTCTGGGGGCACTGACATGCAGAGTGAGCTTTCAGGGACATCATCTGAAAAGATTTTCAGAAAAAGTTTAAAATCATGTTCTCATATGCATAACAGGGTAACTCCAGACAGAATATTTAAAAAGCTTTGTGTACAGCATGACAGTATCTTTTCAAGCAGATGACACCAAATCAAACTTCAAAAGCAAACCTTATACATCTATTTTTTCAATTTTCTGATGGATAATGAATAAGACATCATATATTTAAATTACATTTTAAGATTATTAGATGGTAATATAATATTATACAACTGAAAATTATATGCCTCGCAAAAATTATTTAATATTTATTTCTTTATTTGGAAGACAGAGTTTACAGAAAGGTAGAGACAGAGAAAGATATTTCTATTCATTGGTTCACCACCCAAATGATCACTACAGCCCGGGCTGGGTCAGGCCTTCTTCCACGTCTCCAATGTGTGTACAGGGGCCCAAGAATTTGTGCCATCCACCATAACTTTCCCAGGCACATTAGCAGGGGGCTGAAACAGAAGTGGAGCAGCTGGGATGGGAACCAGGTAGTGCAGAAAAGTTTTAGAGAAATTATACTTTACTGTATAAACAACAGTTAACTTACTTAGGTCCACAGTCCTGTTTAGCATCCCTAAACCATTTTTATTTACTTCATGAGCTTTCACTTCTTAAAATCAAACAGAATATGGGGGAACGAGATTTCCTTTCAAGGATAAAGTAGGACTTTGCTAATATCTTCTTTCATAATACTCAAAATCACTGCCATATTTAGTGCTCTAGGACACTTAGGGCCTTGGTTGTTGTGTGAACACGTTAAAACAGACATAGTTGGCTAAGCCTCTACCTGCAGCACCTTCATCCCATATGGGTGCAGGTTTGAGTCCCAGCTTCTCCATTTTTGATCCACCTCCCAGCTAACAGCCTGGGAAAGCAGCAAAAGACGCCCAAGTACTTGGGCCCCTACACCCACGTATGAGACCCAGAAGAGGCTCCTGGATCCAGATCAGTCCATCTTTGGCCACTGTGGCCATTGGGGGGTAAATCAGCAAATGAAAGATTCTCTCTCTCTCTTTCTCTCTCTCTCTCTCTCTCTCTCTCTTTTTCTCTTTTCTCTAAACAGCAGAAGGAAGATTCTCTCCCTCCTTCTTCTCTGTTACTCTGCCTTTCAAATAAAATTGAAACAAATCCTTTTTTAAAAAGACAACACAATATTTTCTTGAAAGACTTTCCACCCATAGGTACTTCTATTCGGGCACAGTTATTGGTTTACAATTGGTTTCCTCTTGGTTTACAATGAAACACATTAACCCCACCTATTGCTGCAAATGAACAGGTGCTGCTAACACCATACACAGTCCATACTCTCTAATGTACCAAAACAACATCAGGCAGGTAACAGCAACTAAGAATAAGAACCCTAAGGGTGAAATATTGGGCTCCAAATTTTAGCTTGATGACCAGGGCAAGTCTTAGCCTTTCTGAACTCAACATCTTGTATTAAATGGAGATAAGCGTAGTATACATCTTAAAAGACTGTTGTAAAACTAGAATACTACTAGAACAAAAATATTTACAGAGGATGGCAATGTAGAACAGTGGAATAAGCCATTGCCCATGAGGCCATCATACCACACGAGCCCCTGTTCAAGTCCCAACATCTCCACTCAAATGTTTCTGGGAATAGCAGAAGATTGCTTAAGAATTTGGGCCCCTGCCACCCATATGGGAGACCCCGATGGAATTCCAGGTTTCTGAGTTTGGCCTGTTGAAGCCCAGCTATTTGGGAGTGAACCAATGGATGAAAGATCTTTCTCTGTTGTCTCTCCTGCTCTCTCTTGCTCTTTATATCTTTCAAATAAATATTTTAAAAAGGAAGATTTTTATTTTTATTGGAAAGGCAGATTTACACATTTAGAGAGAAGGAGATACACACAGAAAAATCTTTCATCTGCCAGTTTACTCCCCAAGTGGCAGCAATGGCCAGAGCTGAGCCAATCTAAAACCAGGATCCAGGAGCTTCCTCTAGGTCTCCCACACAGGTGCAGGCTTTGGGCCATCTGCAGCTGCCCTCTCAGGCTAGAAGCAAGGAGTTGGATGGGAGTGGAGCAACAGTAACACAAACCAGCACCCGTATGGGATCCCATTGTGAGCAAGGCAAGGATTTAGCCACTGGCCATCGTGCCAGGCCCAATAACTTCTTAAAATATATATATTTCAGTGCTTTGGCCTAAGCCTTAGCTGTTGCAGCCATGTGCGGAATGAACCAGAGGATGGAAGATCCTTCTTTTTCTGTGTCTCCCTTTCTCTCTCTTTGTAACTCTTTCAAATAAATAAGTCAATCCTTAAAGCATATATTTACAGTGCCTTGCATACCACACCATGTCTGCTTTGAAGGGAACTGTCAATACTGCACTCCCCCAAAATAACCATTCTTAATTCTCTGCTATCTAATACTTATCAAGTTTTTAGTTAAAATTCATTAAAATTTATAGAAGATCATTTGAACTTTACATGGAGCATTCATTCCTTCTGGTCACTTAGCCTCAGTTTGAATTATGCAATAGCCTAAAGAGCTTCAAAAATGTGGCCTGGCACAGTGGCCTAGCGGCTAAAATCCTCAACCTTGAACACACCGGGATCCCATAGGGACACCAGTTCTAATCCCGGCAGCTCCACTTCCCATCCAGCTCCCTGCTTGTGGCCTGTAAAAGCAGTGGAGGACGGCACAAAGCCTTGGGACCCTGCACCCGCGTGGGAGACCTGGAGGAACTTTCTGGCTCCTGGCTTTGGATTGGCACAGCACCGGCCATTGTGGTCACTTGGGGAATGAATCATCAGACAGAAGATCTTCCTCTCTCTCTTCCTCTCTGTATATCTGACTTCGTAATAAAAATAAATAATAAATCTTGGGGAAAAAAAGACTTATGGGCCATACCTGTGATATCATTACTGTCCCAACGACGCCGCTGTTCTGCGAGCTTCTGCATGCGTGTTTTAACGGAAGAGACTGTGGTGGCTTCCAGCTTGGCGGCCAGCCCTCTCCTCTCGCCCAGTGGGGCTGGGGCGGCAGCAGCGGCCTCACTGACAGCAGAGGCCGGAGGAGCTGGCTGAGGAGATGCAGGCCTCGGGGAAGTCACTGCGGGCCCTGGCTCAGCTGGTGCTTGATTTTCCAGGTTAGAAACTCCAACTTCAGCATTGTCAGAACAGCGTTTTTTGGATGGTGATGGTTTTGTATATGATTTCTCTAAATTAAAAAGACAAAAAAAAAAAGACATTTAAAATTCCCTAAGTTCTCACAGCATCAATAACTTGAGGAAGTACTTACCAAACTAGCAAAACATCATGCCTTTAAATTTATTTAAGCAACTTTGTTACAACAGGACAAATATTCAACTCCACTCTTGGGGCAAAGCACCAGGGTTAAGCTATTTCCTATAGTCCTGACATCCCTTGCTGCGCTCCACTTCCAATCTAACATCCTGCTAAGGTAATGTACCTAAGAAAGCAGCCGGAGACGGCACAAGATTTGGGGCCCCTGCCACCTACCTAGGAGACCTGGAGGCACTTGGCTCCTGGCTGGAATCTGGCCCAGCTCTGGCCATTGTAGCCATGTGTGGAGTGAACCAGTGCATGGAAGCTTTTTCTCTCTCCCTTTTTCTCTTTGTAACTCTGACTCTCAAGCAAAACAAATAAATCTTCAATTTAAAAAAATAACTTTTTAAAGTTTTAAACATACAATTTATGGTTTGAATACCTTAATTTAAAAAAATTTTTATTAACATTCTCAAGATACATGCATAATAACATAAGTAGTCTTAAAACAATAAGAAATTAAAGTGCACACAAACAGAACAAGCAAGTATTTCAAAGATCATACTGCCCACTCACACAACTTTTCAGTAAGAAAAATCAAGCTTGGAGAAATTTAGTCAACCTGTAACACTAGTCTTATCCATACCCACTTTTTAAATGTCTTTTAAAGGTATACTAAGGAGGATTATTATCTCTAAATTACTATATACTGCAAGTATAGTCTAAAGCAGCTGGCTGATGTGGGTCACGAATACCAGGATAAATAAAGAGGGCCCAGTGGCGTGGCCTAGCGGCTAAAGTCCTCGCCTTGAACACACTGGGATCCCATATGGGCGCTGGTTCTAATCCTGGCAGCTCCACTTCCCATCCAGCTCCCTGCCTGTGGCCTGGGAAAGCAGTCGAGGACGGCCCAAAGCCTTGGGACCCTGCATCTGCATGGGAAACCCAGAAGAAGCTCCTGCCTCCTGGCTTCAGATCGGTGCAGCTCCAACCATTGCAGTCACTTGGGGAGTGAACCATCAGATGGAAGATCTTCCTCTCTCTTCCTTCTCCTCTCTGTATATCTGACTTTGTAATAAAAATAAATAAATCTTTAAAAAAAAGAATGAATAAAGATTCCAGTGAGGGCACAGCATTTTGCTCATCAGTCAGGAGACCAGTGAAGATGTCTATGTCCCATATCTAAGTGCCTGAATTCAAATCTAGACTCTACCTTCTGACAACAGCTTCTTGCCAACGCCGACCCTGGAGAGCAGCAGTGACGGCTCAGGACTTGCGTCCTTGCTACCCAAGTGAGAGACCTGAACCGAGTTCTGGGCACCCAGCTTTATTTAGCCTCAGCCTAGCCCAGGCCCAATCCAGATTGCTGGAGGCACCTGAGGAGTCAACCAATGGGATGTAGCATGTGCACATGCTCTCGCTGGCTGCCTATTTTTGTATTTTATTTTATTTTTTATTTAAATATTGGATTCAGGGTCCCAAGGCTTTGGATCATCCTCCACTGCTGGATGGGAAGTGGAGCAGCCGGGACACGAACCAGTGCCCTAATGGGATGCCAGCACATTCAAGGCAAGGACCTTAGCCATTAGGCTACTGAGCCAGGCCATTTATTTGAAAGATAGCACAATAAAAAGTTATCTTCCATCTGCAGGTTCACTCCTCCTGTGCCCATCACAGGGAGGGCTAAGCCAGGGCAAAGCAACAAGCCCGGAATTCATTGTGGCTCTCCGGTGTTGGTGGCAGGGGCCCGAGTATCTGAGTTGCCATTTACTGTTTCCCAGGATGTGCGTTAGCCAGAGGCCATACTGGACACAGACGTGGACTCAAACTTAGTGACCACAATTCCAATAAATAAATTCTAAGAAAATGACCTTTCTTGCAAATAGTGGCATCTTATTTTTTTTTAAATCATTCTAGGTGATTTTTTTTTTGGCCTAATTGTACTATTTCTGCAGATTACTAATCTAAATTTGGATCCCAACCCTAGAGTTGTCTCAGGAAATAGGATGAGAAAGTCTCAGTGAATGTCAAACATTTGTGAACAGTCTGTCCCCCATTGCCTTGTTCAGGATGGAGAACTTACATAGGGGCTGGCATTGACACAAAGTAGGTTAAGTAGCAGATGGCACCAACTTGAGTCCAAGTTCAAGTCCTGGCTGCTCTGTTTGCAACCAAGCTCCCCACTAATGCACCTGGGAGAAACAGCGCCAAGTTCTTGGGTTCAGGAAACTCATGTGGGACGCACAGGACTCCTGACTTCCTCTTGGCCTAGCCCCAGATATTGTAGCTATTTGGGAAATGAACAAGCAGATAGAAGAACATCTCTCTCTGCCCCACTCTTCCTAATACCTCTCCTTGATCCTCTCCCTCCGGAATGCTGCCTTTCTAACAAATAAATGTCAAAAAAAAAAAAAAAAAAAAAAACCACAGAGACTCCTCATATGAACTGAGTGGCAGCTACTCTGGCGCTGTGGGATGAAGAACAATCCCGGCAGCTCCACTTCCCAGCCAGCTCCCTGCTTGTGGCCTGGGAAAGCAGTCAAGGACAGCCCAAAGCCTTGGGACCCTTGCAGCACCTGTGTGAGATACCCGGAAGAGGTTCCTGGCTCCTGGCTTCAGACTGGCACAATACCAGCCATTGCGGCCACTTGGACAGTGAACCATCAGACAAAGGATCTCCCTCTCTGTCTCTCCTCTCCTGCGTACATCTGCCTTTCCAATAAAGAAAAAAAAAGTAAATTTTGCTTTCTGCCCCCCGGGGCTTCTACCTTCCGCAGTGGACGGAGGCTGCTGGTTACTGGCTTCTGAGAGCGGCTCCCTGGCCCGCTTGGCCTGAGCCCCGGACCTTGCTGCTGCTATGGGTCTTTCAGCAATCTTTCTCTGAAGATTCTCTCGCCTGGCACGGGTTCGTTCGAGTAGCTTCTGTGAGTACAAAATCAAACAGTATTAAGACACAAGCTTAGTGGTCACAAAACCTCAAACATCTTCTAAAAATCACCAATCATATAGAACAGTTAAATGCATTTCAAAAGTGAGACTAAGTAATGAAGGCAAAAGTCACCAAATGAACACTTCAATGTCAAAATCACTACTATTTCCCTACCCTTAAATCTAGGCAGGCCTCATGATCTACTCTGACAAATTAAAATGCAGCACTGATATACTAGGTGGCTTCCAATCTCAGGCCTGGAGAAGGCTTGCAGTTTCTGCTTTCCTCCCCTTAGAACACTGTTACCATACCAAATCAACGAGCCCAGGTGGCCCGTGCCCACAGCCAGCATCAACCATCAGACAGGCCACTGCAGCCATGCACCCTCAGGTAATTTTCCAGATTGTGAAAGCTCCAGCAGGACCACAGGGCAAACAGGCAGGCAACAGCCCCACTGAGCCAACAGGAGCTTCTGAGAGGCAAAGGGACTACCAAATCACTGTGCGGGGAATAATGGCCTCCTCAAAATGGGTGTGTCCGAATCTCCCAGCCTATGATAATTCCCCCCATAGCAAAAGAGAATTTGCTAAAGTTACTGAATTAAAAATCTTGAGATGGAGGTTATCCTGGGTTACATGTGTAGCCAAATATGATCACAATAGTCTTTATAAGAGAAAAGAAAAGGAGGAGGTAGGAAGGTCAGAGTGAAGAACACACTAGCAAAGCAAGCAGCAGTCACAGCAGTGCGGATGGGTGAAGATGCTGAGGATGAAGCAAGGTGCCACAAGCTGAGGGATGCAGGTGGCAAAGAAACCAGCTTTTCCCTAGAACTTCCAGAAGGAAAGAAATTTTCCTGACACCTTTATTTTAGCCTAGTAAATCCACTTCTGACCTATGGAACTGAAAGGTATCATGTCAAGTTCGTTATGTCATTTACAGCAAAACTAATACTGCCACCACGACGATGACTCGGGGAGGCTGGTAAGCAGCAAGAGATGATCATTTCCATCTTTAGAAAACCGAACACGCATCCTAACAGGAAAATGGTTTATTTACTATCAACATATAACAAAATGATTTTAAATTAAAAGTTCAACCACTCCACAAACTCACGAATACTTTTCTTCAACTGAATCAACTGATTCTCCTGTTGGAATCGATAAAGTAAAACTCACATTAAGCCCTATAGAACATTCTCTCTGAACGAACCCAGTAACAGAAGGAATGCAGAACATTATTGCTGCCTCACATAGAGATACACTAGTTAGTGCAGAGCAACTGACCTCCATTTGGTCTTCTGAATTCCTTAATTAAAATAGAAACAAGGTGGTATTGTGGCATGGTGAGTTAAGCAGCCACCTAAGGATGTCAGTATCCCATAGGGGTGCCAGTTCAAGTCCCAGCTGCTCCATTTGCAATCCAATTCCCTAATCAATAGCCTGGATAAAATAGTGGAAGACTGCCCAAGTGTCTGGAATCCTGGAAGACCTGAAGCTCCTGGCTTCTACCTGCCCCACCCTGGCTGTTTCAAGCCCCACAGGGAGTGAACCAGCTGATGGAAGATCTCTCCAACTCCATAACTCTTCCAAATAAATAAATAAATAATTTTAAAATACAATGAGAATTTTGTTAGGGCCTCTGAGTATGTAAAAGAAACATAAGTTATATTGGGAATTAGGTATAACTCTCTATTCGTCTTGAGAATGACTACTAATTCAGAGGTCACTCAAAGTAGTAACACTAAAGATGCTGTGTCACTGAAGGCATTGAGGAGCCAGGTCCTTCCAAAGCAGGCCTTCCCCCTAGTGAATAAAAGGCTAATTCACCACACCCAAAGGTGACCATACGGCTGCATTCATTTTAAGTCTGGTAATTCTCCAATGAGCAAATCTATCCCTTGTTAGACAGAGAGCCAGCTTAATGAAATTCACTCATGGCCGAGCCCACATTCCATTCCCATCAGTTGGAGGACTTGTGAGTCAATGTAGCTTCAGTTACCATGAGCAATGGGTCACAACAAAAGAATGTGGTTTTGCCATTCAAACATGCACAAGTGTCCCACTGTTGACAGATTTCAAAATTCCAGATTTCAAAAAAAGCAGATAAGCTAAAAATGTCCCCTAATCTGTAAAACAGAGCAAATAAACACAAAAAATTTAATTTTAAAAATATGATTATCTAAAGCACATAAATTCAAGAACTCAAAAAATGTAAATAGTCCTTTTTATAATAGCATATAAGCAATGTAAGGATTCTTTTAAATAAAAGGCACAATCAAACGCCACATCTTCAAGCACAGACATACAAAATAATACAACGGTTAGCTTAAATTGGACACAAAATACTTATGCTAAATCTCAGAAGATCAAAGTCTGCATGTATAACAATTTCTGCCATAGCTACCTCCAAATTATTTCAGTAAGAAACTTTGCTATATAATAATACTGACATCCCTGCTTTCCCAAACAAAGCAGACTCAATGTAAACCGGCTTCTTGCTATTTTCCACATGCTCTGGTAGATCTTCCCAGGTCAGTACACCCTTTCACTGCATTCTAGAAAATAAAGGAATCTTTCAAAATAGTAGCCGCACATTTATTTATTTTCAGCCTGCATGTAACAAAGGATTGAAGGTATCTCATCAGAAAAAAAAATACTTTTAAAAAGGGTATTAATTGCAGCTTTTTCTCCTTGGGTTCCAAAAGAAAGCTCTGCCATGCCCGTTTTCTTCTTCTGGGTCTCCCTGTAGTATTCTAGGACGCAATGACCCTCACCCATGAGAGATTTCAAACTCAGATGCTTTTCTTTTTTGTATTTTTTCTAAGATGTATTTGAAAGTCACAGATAGAGAGAGAGAGATAAGGATGTTTCCATCCACTGGTTCATGCCACAACAGTGAAGACTGAGCCAGGCTTATGGCTGGAGCCAGGAGCTCCATCTGGGTCTCCCAAGAGGGTGGCAGGTGCCCAAGCACTTGGGCCATCTACCACTACCATCAGCAGGGAGCTGCATCGGGGTGAAATAAACCAATGCCCATACAATTCTGAATTTACCTAATAAGTACAATCACTAACAATTACACAGGACTTAAAGAAAAGTACTTTCAGTGTCTGGCAGACACCGATGTAGTTCATCCTCAAACCCTTACTTGAGAGGCTCTATTTCTACTGCTTTCTTTGAACGGTAGAATTGAAGACAGTGAGGGAGAGACGGAAAGAAACCTTCTTTTTTTTTTTTTAAGATTTATTTTTTATTATTTTTCATTGGAAAGGCGGATATACAGAGAGGAGAGACAGAGAGGAAGATCTTCCGTCCGATGATTCACTCCCCAAGTGAGCGCAACGGGCCGATACTATGCCGATCCGAAGCCAGGAGCCTCTTCCGGGTCTCCCACGCGGGTGCAGGGTCCCAAAGCTTTGGGCCGTCCTCGACTGCTTTCCCAGGCCACAGGCAGGGAGCTGGAAGGGAAGCGGGGCTGCCGGGATTAGAACCAGCGCCCATATGGGATCCCGGGCATGCAAGGCAAGGACTTAACCACTTGCGCCACCGCGCCGGGCCCCGAAAGAAACCTTCTTTCCACTGGTTCTTTCCTCAGATGACCAAAATTGTAAGGGCTGTGACAAACCAGGGTCAGGAATTCTCTCCAGGTCTGCCATGGGGGTGGCAGGACACAAGCACTAGAGCCACTGTTTTGCAGGCACATGAGCAGGGAGCAGGACTGGAAACAGGCCACCGAGAGTCAAATCAGGGCTCAAACGGGATGGTGACAACGTACACAAGCAGCAGCTTAACCCATGGCACCACAACGCTGGCCCCTCGATACTGTTTTACAGATGAGGAACTGCAGTGTTAGGCAACACACCACAAGCCATGTAGCTAACTTGAAAACACAGCATTCTACCCAAATTACGAAGTCTAGGTCCTCACCCATTTTACTATAAACTGTCTCTTAACTACATCTAATGCCGCATCTCATCATGATAAGTGTGTGCCTTAGCTGCCTGGCAAGCCAGTAGTCAGAAGGATTCTTCTCTGTATTTGATTGGTCCACAAATAAAGCACAAAAAAAAAAAAAAAAACATGAGGCACTTATGGATATCTTAATAATGACAGAATATCAGTGATAAAGAAATTTTAACTTTTTAAGTGTGATAATGGTATTGTGATTTTGTAGGGAGGGTTTTTTTTTTTTTAAGAATGCTTAGTGTGTGCTAAAAATACTGAAACTTTTATTATGAAATCACATGATGTTTAGGGCTCTAAAGTAATTTGATGAGAAAGGTAAAGGACATTGCAAAGCAATATGGCCATGTACTGATAATTACAGGCACCAGACAATAGGTGAACGAGCAGTATTTCAAAATTCTCTTCAATTAAAAAGTAATTCTAAAATGTTCTAGCAGTAGTGGTGGCATGTAATTGTTCATAAAATAACTCGCACATACCGGCTTCCTGCTATGTTGATTTAGTAAAATGTTATTAGAAGTACTTGATATTAGGGAAAATTGCCTCCGAACAGTCTCTACCTTTACGAAGCTGACATTTAGGAAACATACTCAACGTGTTTCACAGACAAACGCTGTGAAAAAGGAGTTCCCTCGGAAGATCTACTGTGAGGGGGAGGTCAGGTCCACGCTGGGCAGAAGAGAGAGAGCAGCAGAGTGCCGGACAGTGGCAGTGACAGCAGGAGTGAGGGAGGCCCAACATTCTTGTCTAAGGAACCAGAAGACTGACTGCAGCCTGGGATAGGCCCTAAAGGCCCTGACACCGTAATGAGTGATTTCCTAGCTGATGGGAAGGGACTGATGCTGAACCACCCTTGGGAGGTCTCTCAAGCAACTGCATTGCAAGGTTCTGAGAAGGAAGCCTGGGCAAGCAGGGCTCAGTGCTCGGCAGACAGGGAACCACAGCAGCCGCTCCCTTCTCTGTGCAAAAAGTGCTGCGAAGGCTCCAGCTAAGCACCTACTAGTTGGATCCAATTCAAAGGGCTCCCTCATTACCAATTAAGGAAAAGAGGCTGAAGCTGTTCATTCTAACGGTAAAGGACTGCACTTTTCATAACATAAACCACACACATGAACCCATATGTATTTATGAGCATACAGAACAAAAAATTTCAAGCATAATGAAGTACTATTTTCAGACAACGTTGAAAATGTTTCTGACAACTGCTTAGGGGAAACACACAGGGCTAACATCTTATGGAATCCTACTCTGCATTAGTAGTACAAAAGAATACACCCTAAAATATTCTCAACGTCACTGTAGGCAGAAGGCGCTGTGCACATACGGCCAGTCCTACTGTTTCAGACATACACAAATTCAGATTGAGGATTTTTTAGTTAAAGCTCTTACGGCGAGAAAATTAATGCTTTCCCCAGGACGGCTGAGGCTCTACCACAGAATAGACGACTGTTGTGTTGAAATATGGGTGAACTCATTTGAGAAACCTTTGATGTGTTATCCTTGCTTATGGAATTGTAATTACCACCACCCCGCCAAAAAAGGGGAACGGGTACTTCCATCCTGCACAGTTTCTAACCTTTCAGTCGAGTAGAGAATTACTACGGGGTCCCCTGTGCAACAACTCAAAACAGTTCGAAACTTTTCACAACACCCTGAAGGAAGAGGAACTGCGCTGGAATAAAGCGGGTGCGTTGTCAAAGAGCAACTGGCAGCCATGCAAGACACACCCTCTTCCCAAGGAACCGAAGACGAGGTGAACACCCTGCTGACCAAGCGCTCCGAGAACGCTGAGGTTTCCTCGCTTTGCTGCAGGCTTCTCAGCAGGAGCCTCATGAAGCTGCGGTGTTCACTCTGGGCTGGCTAGCCCCCTAGTTCCTCTCCAAGTGTCACCCCTAGGTAGGAAACCCCGCGAGGAGCAAAGGGCTACTGCCTTTCTAGGAATGAATGCAGCGGTTCGGAGCCCCAGTTGGCTTGAACGCGTCGCCACCGTTTCGTTATCAGCACCTTAAAACGCACAGCTTCCCCGTCGGGGGGTGGGACGCCCCTCTGCCCACCCGAGGCGCTTGCACAAGGTTTCCAGGCGGAGGCTGCGTGCAGCCCTGAGTCCCTCTCGGGGCCCCTGCTTCCACCCCGCCAACAGTCCGGGTTTTTCCAGCAGGACTTGCTCGGCCGGCCCCAAGCCGCCTTCTCGCAGGGCAGGAAGAGGGGAGAAATCAGCAGGTCGGGACGGCCGGGGGTTGTTCAGCCACCCTCTGTTCGGACACACTAAAGGCTTCCTCCCAAGCTACACTCGTAGGACGGGGACAACAGGAAAGTCGCAGACACACCCCAGACACGCAGATCACCCTAACCCTACCCCGCGACCCCCGACAGCTCCGCTTCTCCCACCCGCAGGACGCCGGACACCCCGCACGCACCCACCGCGCACGCGCGCGCACGCGCCCTCCGCCGGGCGGACCCCGAGGTTGACAGAAAGTGGGGAGGGCCGGGGGGCGCCGACCAGGCGTCATGGTCGGCAGCGCCCGCAGACTATCTCACCTCCGTGAACGGGTCCATCGCCCTCGGTGTCACGTGTCCACTACGAGACGATGGAAACGGTGGTTCAAAGTCAGGAAAAGAAAGGAAGTGAGTCTGCACTCAGTCTGTGTTCTGAGGAAGACCGGGGGTCCGGGGTTGGGTTGGGGGGCTTCTCCCGCTGCCCGCCCTGCTCGTCCCTCAGCCTCCAAGGTCTGACAAGGCCTCCTGCGGCGGCCGTTCAAATTTGAATTTCAGCGCTCGGCGCCGCGCGCTTGCGCACTGGGCGGGCAGGGGCGGGGCGCGGCGCTCCCCTCCCCGACGCTCGGTCACGTGACGTGGCGGGACTGCGGAAGTTCCCAGGGGTGGAGTCGCCGCCGCCGGGGTCCCGCAGGCGTTGGAGACCAGGAGCAGCTCCAGTGGCGGCCGGCCACCGCCCACGGCCCCAAGCCTCACCCTCTCGGCGCTCTCGCTCGCACCCCACTTTGCCTAAGCCGATCTCTTCACTCCCCCAGCGTTGGGCGTTCTGCCCTTCATTCCTGAAGGGAAATCGAGAGCCCTAAGGTGTGGAGTCCGGCGGGCGCTTCGGGTCTTCCCCACCAGGCTTCCCCAGCTCCTATTTCAGTCTAACGAGTCCGGGTCCCCTTGGGGCCAATAACCAGCAGACCCCCCCATGAACGGAGATGGTCTTTCTCATTGGTCAAATAGGGCGCACAAGAACTAAGAGACTGCACCCCCACCCCAAACTCTTATTCTAAATACAAGCCAACTACCGCGTGCAGGGTTGAAGCTGGAAGGATTCTGTGAAGCCCTCCAAAGGCAAGCAAGAGGTCCAGGAGAACTCAAAATCCCATTCGCGACTCATAAGCCGCTTTCCAGCCTAGCTCAAACTACTTTTTCTGTGCAGTGCATACAAAACTGGCAGGCGTGTGGCATCCAGGCTGTGTCAGCCACTCCCTTTGCAGCAAGTCTGTGCAAGGGCTTGTCAGGACAGTTGGTCCTGATGTGTTGGTGGGTCACCATGACTGCTCAACAGTCAAACAAAACACAAGGATTCCTCCGAGTTTGGGCCAGTGTGTTCAGTAACGCTTCCCAGGGAAGCCGGTAACTGTGACCGAAGGAACATTGATAACATCCAGGACAGGAATGCAATGCTTCTTGATTGTAAGCAACTTCACCGTGGGCGTGAACCAGCGAAAATCGGTTTAGGATTTGGGTTTCATGGGACCCTGTGGCCTCTTGCTTTGGACGAATCCTTGAATGCAATCAGTCATAAACAGTTGAACAAGTTTTGGTGAAGTTCACAGACATCAGGTTATGCATTTTTGCCTAACAGGCAAAGTCGGTTGGCGTGCCTTCCTCAGGGAACCTAAGAGAGTCTGATGAAAAGCGAAGACTGACAGGCATTGTCCACGTCTATCATGTGTGCAGTTGCTAACATTTGATTCAAAATCAAAGGGAAGAGAGTTTTTGCGATTTTTCAGGCGCCAAGGGGTGTGTTATTTTTCAAGCACAGGGGTGTGTTATTTTGAAGGCAAGTCTGTGTGTCTGAAACAACATTGGAAAGTGAGTCATGAGAAATTCATGTAGCCGTTAGGCCCCAGGCTATGGCTCCCATGAGCCTTAGTTTCTTCGTAATGGCCTCAACTAGAATGTGCTCAAGACAGAATAGCTGCTCAGACTTGTGGTTTATCTTTTCTCAGCATTGATGATATAATAATCCCCACTCCCACACCAGCTCCCGTGTAGAAACACCGACTGTGCCTGAAACCGCTCAGCACTCTGTGGCAGTTATCTCACAAGCCACTCTCCACTCCTAACACCCATTAGTTCATTCAGTTTATAAGCTAGAGTGATTTTTTTTTTCTTTTTTAAAATTGTGATGATGAGCCTGATGTGATAGCTGGCTAATCCTCCCACCTCTAAGGGCTGCAGTCCCATCTGGGCGCCAGTTGTTGTCCCAGATGCTCCACTTCCCATCCAGCTCCCTGCTTGTGGCTGCAAAAGTAGCGGAAGATGGCCCAAAGCCTTGGGACCCTGAACTCAACGTGGGAGACCCAGAAGAAGCTCTTGGCTCCCGGTTTTGGATTGGCTTAGTTCCAGCCATTGTGGCAACTTGGGGAGTGAACCAGTGAATGGGAGGTCTTTCTCTCTGTCTCCATATCTCTGTAAATCTGTCTTTCCAATAAAAATTAATGAATATATTTTTAATTGTGATGAAATATTTCTCAATTTCAAAGAAGAAAAAGGTGAATAGCAAAATGTAATCATGTACCTGCCATCTACCTAGCTTAAAAAAAAAAAAAAGGTGATCCTCCCCTCGTGGCACAGCACGTCTAGCTGCTGCCTGATGCTTGGGACTTCACATCCCATTGCAGCGTGCAGGTTGGAGGCCGGGCTCCCCGGCTTCCAGGTCTGCTTCCTGATAATGTACTAACTGGGAGGCAAGGAATGAGGACCCAGGTACCTCAGTGCCTGCCACCTACCCATGTGGGAGACTTCCAGGGAGTTTGGGGCCCCTGGCTTGGGCTTCATCCAGCCCTGGCTGCTGTGGGCATTTGTGGAGTAACCATCAGATGATCGCTTTCTGTGTGTCTTTCAAATAGGAAATAAATAAATGTTTGTTTGGTTTTTTTTTTTTTTTAACAAAACTTTAAGGATCTGTATTATGGCATAGCAGGTAAAACCACTGCCTGAAAGGACAGTGTCACTTATGGGCATTTCTGACGCAAGCCCAAGCTACTCCATTTCTGATCCACCTCCCTGCAAATGGTCTGGGAAAAGCAGCAGAATATGGCCCAAGTGTTCAGGCACCTGCCACTCACATGGGAAACCTGGATGAATCTCCAGGCTTCTGCGCGGCCCAACTCTGTCCATTAGAGCCCTCTGGGGAGTGAGCCAGCACATGAAGATATCTCTGTCAAGTAAATGAACCATTAGCAAGAAAGGTTGTACATGGAAATATTGAGAACAATTTAAAAAAAAGAAAAAAATCCCATATACAGTTAAAATGTGTTTTCATTAATCCCATTTGCCTTCTCATTCCCTGGAGTAGGCCAGCGTGATGGTTCAGTGACTAATGCTCTGTCTTCAAGTGCCAGGATCCCATACAAGTGCTGGTTTGTGTCCCGGCTACTCCTCTTCCCATCCAGCTCAATGCTTACAGCCTGGGGAAGCGATAGAGGACAGCCCAAAGCCTTAGGACCCTGCACCTGCGTGGGAGACCCCAAAGAAGTGCCTGGCTCCTGCTTCAGATAGGCTCAGCTCTGGACACTTGGGTAGAAGCAGTGGATGGAAGATCTGTCTGTTTTTCCTCTCTGTAAATCTGATCTGCCTTTCTAACAAAAAATAAAGAAACCTTTTAAAAAATAATTGAGGACAGCACATTCAAACCATGGCAAGATCTGAGCATGCGTGTACTGCCTGCTCGGACAGCACCTTCCTGATCCGTTGAGCTTCTCCTCTCCCCCAGCACTGTCTATGATTAAGACTTACTGTGCTTAATCAATTTCTGACATTTAATTATGGAACTATTATCTAGCTCTTCTTTATTGAAGTTTAAGCCATACTCTTGTTTTATTTATATCTGTACCCAGCACCTTCTGAGCACCAAAGTGCAGAAGAGATCTGTTGAATGATCATGTGGCATAGATATTAATGGAAGGAATGAAAAAGTAACTAGCATTGCTGTTTGAGAGATGGAGTAGCTGAGATGCAAAGAAACTAAAGTGGTTGACCTCAGTCATCAGAAGTGGCCTTCCCTAGTTACTGAAGTAGTAAACACAAATTCCCAAGCTATTTAGATGCAGACAACAACGTAACATATTAGTTAAAAAGCCGAAGGTGTAAGGCAGAAGTAATTAGAGAGTAAAGGTAATCTTAATGAGTATTTGCTCCTTCTAAAACAGGCATTTGACCTAAGGTTAAAATGCCAAGTGCCTGGATTCAAGTCTTTTTTTTTTTTAGGCAAAAGAAATAATCATATTTTGAAGATAACATAAAAGAAGGTTATGAAACAAAAATTTGAAAGCGCTGACTTCAACAGGGACACTCTAAGTGCTATATGTTATGGTTAATTTCTCAAAATACATTTACACACCTTCTCATTTAACTTGTCAAATAATATAGTAACATAAATATTCTTGTTTTACAGGGAGAGAAAAGGCCAAGAGCTAACCCTAAGGCAGTGGCAAGAAGAATTAAAGGCAAGTGTCCTACTTGGGTTATCTGGGTGATGCTCCACACTTAAATATATATTGGAAAGGCAGATCAGATTTATGGAGAGAAGGAGAGACAGAGAGAAAGGTCTTCCATCCTGTGATTCACTCCCCAAATGGCCGCAATGGCTGGTGCTGCGCCAGTCCGAAGCCAGGAGCTTCCTCTGGGTCTCCCACATGGCTGCAGGGTCCCAAGGCTTTGGGCCATCCTTGACTGCTTTCCCATGCCACAAGCAGGAAGCCAGAAGGGAAGTGGAGCAGCCAGGACACAAACCAGAACCCCTATGGGATCCCAGCACGTGTAAAGTTGTAAAATGAGAAGTTAGTCATTCTGCCATTGCATCGGGCCCCTGCTCCACTATTATTACACTTACTATAAAAAATAAGAATATTCAAAGAGTATCAGATACAGGTTACTGAAAAGGACTAATTTCTATGCTATTAATAGTTCTTGGTTTTCTATAGGTTCTTTTTGCTTCTCTAATTTAATCAATGCCAATGTTCCAAGGGCAGGCATTTGACCTGAGGTTAAAAGGCCAAGTGTATGAATTCAACTCTCACTGCCAGCTAGAGAGCCCCCGGCCAGGCAGGAGCTGGTAGCTGCAGAAGCTGAGTCTGCAGCCTGAGTGAGGGACCAGGGTGCGGTCCGCTCCTGGCTCAACCTCACCCAGCCTCAACCACTGCAGACATTTAAGGGAGTGGCCCGGCACACCAGAGCTCTCTTTCTCCAGCTCCCAGATGCCTAACACACATGGTAAAAAAATGTTTGGGTTCTAGAGTATGAGGAAATATAGTGTTTTTTCAAATATATCCATTTCTAAAACAAGGCAACTACAGGCACACCTTTATTCAAGAGAGAATTCTCAAAATCCATACAGTTTAACTTCCTTTTTATATTCTAAACTAGATAGCATGAATATTAACATTTAATATTTAATGGCCCACAGTAAATGCTCTCATTAAAAGAGAGGATATTTTATGTATCTGTCACACTATAATTTATGTTTTGTTTGCTTTT